CACAAATCTAGCCTTTATGGAAGAGTGGCAAGAAAAAAAAGTCATTGTTGAAAGAAAGTCATAAGAAGGCTCGTTTGCGAGAAGCCATGTGGAAGAAGGTGCTCTGGTTAGATGAGAACAAAATGTAACTTTTTGTTTAAAAAGGAAAATGCTATGTTTGCCAGAAAACTAACTCTGCACATCACCCCAAACATACCATCCCCACTGTGAAACATGGTGGTGGCAGCATCATGTTGTGGGGATGCATTTCTTCAGCAGGGCCAGGAAGCTGGCGAGAGTTGATGGGAAGATGGATGGAGCCAAATACAGGGCAATCTTAGAAGAAAACCTGTTAGAGTCTACAAAAGACTTGGGCGGAGGTTGACCTTCTAGCAGGACAACGACCCTAAACAGACAGCCAGAGCTACAATGGAATGGTTTAGATCAAAGTATATTCATGTGTTGGATTTAGGTCTGAACTTTGACTTCTAACTAAGAATCTGTGGCAAGACTTGAAAATCGCTGTTTACAGACGCTTTCCATCCAATCTGTCAGAGCTTGAGCTACTTGCAAAGTAGAAGGGGGCAAAAATGTCCCTCTCTAGATGTGCAAAGCTGGAACAGACATATCCAAAAAGATCTGCAGCTGTAATTGCAGCGAAAGTTGATTCTACAAAGTATTGACTCAGGGGGGCTGAATACAAATGCACGCCACACTTTTCAGATATTTATTTGTAAACAATTTTGAAAACCATTTATCATTTTCCTTCCAATTCACAATTTTGTGTCACTTTGTGTGGTCTATCACATAAAATCCCAATAAAATACATTTATGTTTTTGGTTGTAACATGACAAAATGTGGAGAACTTCAAGTGCTATGAATACTTTTTCAAGGCACTGTAAAATAATTAAAGAAAAATAAACTAGTTAAGGTTAAGGGTTTCTCCGTGAAGAAGAAAAGGTTTATCACCTTCATACACTAGCACAAGAGTGAGGATTAACAGAGTGGGGAAGGGTTATAGGGGGAGGGGTTGGGAGTCCTCTAAAGCGTTCCCAGGATCCAGTCACCTGAAGGAAACACACCTATTACCCAGTAAGAATGAATATTCTGCCTGTGTCCTGTACTGTATGAATCAGATACATTTTTATTTCTGTGTGTTGCTGTTGGCAAGTTCTCCTCACTTCCAGTCAGGTAAAAATGTTGCAAGCAGGGAAGAAGTGAGGGGGCTTTGATTTTTTGTAACATATTACTGTCAGCTGTGTGCATACCAACCTTCTTTGTTGGTCTTTCTCCTTCAGATTCATCCCATGCAGCCACATTTTTCACTGCGCCTGGGTGACCATGAGAAGGCAAAACATTTAAGTGCTAGCCTGACTTCTTTGCTTCTAATATATCTTTTTTTACCAATCTTCTTTATGTTTTTATATTAATATTTAAGAACACATTGCTCCTCACAGCTTTATGTCAAAATACAATGTTTTGAACAATTCAAGTATGCATATATTTCTTTATGTTTATTTAACAGCTGAGTGCTGATATGGAGAACCTACTAAGGATGCAGACAAACCAGATCCACCTTAGAGAAGAGCTGTTCCTCAGGACAACTATAAATGCTATAAGGGGTCTTCAAACTTTTCAAAGGGGCAGTTTACTATCCTTCAGACTTTGGCCAGTGGGGGTAGAAAATGCCCAAGGCCCAGAATCAGTGAGAATAAACAATGCCTCGGGGTGGGTGGTCAGTAGGATGAGGAAGAGTGCCGCACCATTAGAATCGGTGGGAGGACGAGTGCCCCACCATTGGAATCGGTGGGAGGAAGAGTGCCCCACCATTGGTATCGATGGGAGGAATAGTGCCCCACCATTGGTATTGGTGGGAGGAAGAGTGCCCCACCATTGGTAGCGATGGGAGGAAAGAGTGCCCCACCATTGGTATTGGTGGGAGGAATAGTGCCCCACTATTGCTATCAGTGACAGGAATTATGCCCCACTGTTGGTATCAGTAGGAGGAATTGTGCCCCAAGGGTCAGATAAAGGCTAGCAAAGGGCCACATCAGGCTCTAGGGCCACAGTTTGAAGACCATTGCTATAAGAGCTCTAAGATAACAATCACGAGAGCTTCTTACAAACCTAACATTGCTACTCAGTTGTTTGTAGTGCTCAAAACACATGTAAAATAATAAACAGACATCTTGTTTTGCGCGAAAACATTTTATTACAATCCATGTATAGAATTAAATGAATGCCGTGAGGGGAAAAAAAAAAAAAAAGCATCTAATGTACCAATCAGTCAGTCTTGAGATTGGCGACAATCCTGCCTATACACATACACCTATTGTTTTCCCTGGAGAATATATTCCTACAAAGGATAAAAACAATTGGAACCTAAAATTCACAGACACGATTTTGCAATTGTCATTGCTAGTGCAGAAAAGCTTCTTCCATGTGGTAGGTCTGATAAAAGAAATATTAAAATCTTTTTTTTTTCATGTGTTTTTTTTTTTTTTTTTTTTAAGACCATGAGGAGATAACATCAGCAGTGTGAGTGCTAGACTTATCAGATGTGTTTTGACACGAGTTAAAAATGAAAAGCTGGAAACTTTCCAATGGTTTTAAAAGTGGTGCCATCATCTCACCTCAAATGACTAAGAAGTGTCTCTTCTGCTCTCTAGGCATGACCTGCTAGATGGACATCAAATCTTAAGTGGGCAGTTATAAGGTGCAGGACAAATAATGTAATTAGAATTGGCTGTCTGCCATCTAGGAAGCAAGTCCAGAGAAAAAAAAAAAATAAAAAAAAAATTACAAAACAAAAAGTTCCTCTTAGGGGGTGGTATTGATTTAAACATACATACACCATACTAGAGCAAAGAAAAAATAATAAACCACTGCAAATATTTACAGAAGAGAATTAAAGACATTTTGTTTTTCTTTACAAATAGCTGTGAATTGGTAGGCATCAAATTATCCACTGTTCCTTTGAAACTTCTTTACATATTAACGTGGACCTTTAAATCTTTACTAATTACATTCTGCTAGTAGTTGGCCTGGGAATGACAGGCTGATATCCATTTAAAATATTTTACACAGCTGTATGATTCCCTGTGTAGGAAGGTGGCCCCGTGCTCTTCAGCCTGTGGCTCTCATTAGAGAAAGTCTTTCAGGCTATGAATATATAAACATCGCCATTGGAACCCTTAGTCGTACACATTTTTAGTTCAAAGGGTTTCAGTCATCGCTGTCCGATAGGGTTTCATACTGTGATGAGAGGAGCGGCGCCGGCTCTCGCTCCCATATCCTGCTTTGTTGGTGGGCAGAACTCTGTGTTATGGTGGAGGCCATAGAAGATGGAGGAGTGCTATTCAGCATCCCCATAGTCAATGGGTTGAATGGGAATTGAGTGGACCCTGAAAAAAACAGATACAATCATTTAGCTGTACTTCAACAATAAGACATTTTTATGAACAACTAACAAAAATCCATTAGCGAACTACTAGAAACAGTATGCCAACTACTGCACAAATTATGTATATATTAGAGGGGGTTTTCAGCCTTCTGCCCTTTACTAAGTTCAGGGGCAGGAACCAAGCACTGCTGGCACTGTAATGCAGAAACTGTAATGTAAACCTGGAGAGTCAGCACTTTTTTTTTTTTTTCCAAGATTCAAGACTATCCTGACACTAAACCTTTGAAATAGGGCTGATAAGGGACAATGACTATCACTTAACCTCTTCCTGACCACCATATGTATATACACCGATAAGCCATAACATTATGACCACAGACAGTTAAATTGAATAATAGTGATTATCTTGTTAAAATGGAATCTGAAAATGGGTGGGATATATTAGGCAGCAAATGAACATGTTGTTCCTGTAGCTGAAATTGAGTATCTGTGCAGAGGTGTATTTACCACAAGGCAAATAAGGCACTTGCCTAGGGCGGCATTTTTCAAGGGGGCAGTACCTCCCTCCAGAAGAAGGGACACGCACACCATGGGAACCTGGTCGGATGCAAGAGAGGCTGCTTGATGGTGTATATAGAGCCTGATGTCCGGAGCTGTAAAGATGAGGGTCTCTCTATTGCCGGGTGGGTGGGGTGGTATAGTGGAAGGCTCTCCCAGGAGGGGGGCAGGGGTGCTGTTGGTCAATGTCAGGCTCTCTCCACAGGAGGGGAAGGGGGGTTGTGTTGGTCAGTGTCCGTGGGGGCAGACGATTTTTGTGTTGCCTAGGGCAGCACAAAACCTAAATACACCACTGCATCTGTGGGATGTGTCGGGAAAAACGAGTCCGATCCATTGAGGCCCCACCTCGACATAAAAGGATCTGCTACTGACAGTACTGACTGCTTGGGGCCAGATACACAAAGCATATCTGCTGAGGTCTAGTGGTGTTAATGCCTCAGTGGGTCAGGGCTGTTTTGGCAGCAAAAGGGGACCTAGTCAATGTTAGTTAGATGATCATAATGTTAAGGCTGATCGGTGTATGTTCAAAAGATTTGAAACATTTTTAGGTATGCATATTAGAAATATTATCATGTTCACCAACACATTCTGACGCTGCTAAATTTGGCCTGTGCAACCAGGCATTCAATTAGCCCTGGGCATAAAAAGATCAGCACTATTTTTTTTTTTTTTTTTAACATGCAAATGCATCTTACAAAAGCTTTTGTTTGACATAATAGATGCCTGTCAACAGAAACATGCGTTGGTTTAGTTAAAATGTACTGGAAGCAAGTAACTCTAGGTAGAGCACACATTCAACAGAACCACAAGGCATGTCAAGCATCAAGACAGAGAACAGCTGAATATGCGGGAAGCACCCAGGTTTGATGTTTATAATTATTCTCACCAAGTGATTTTTCTTTACCAAGATTTGTAGATCATAAAATATAAACTTTATAAAAATGTTCACATGTCTGAAACAAGCCTTCTTTGCAGATTTTGGCTCATTGTCCAGCAGTTGGGTAATAGAAAATGCCAGATAAAATAAGGGACATCCGGTCTTCTTTTGCGTTTTAAGTACTAACCTGAATTGGGCGAGGGATTTGCTTCCTCTCTACGAGGATCATTACTTGAAGACCCTGAAGCACTGCCTTGTGATACCCCCATTAGGACACCATGATCATCTGACTTGTCATCAAAATTGCCCATTAAAGCTTTGCGGATAATATCCTCTAGACCAAGATTACTGGCAGGATCAGCAAAGGAATGACCTCGGGAGCTGATGGTACCTGTACATACGAGAGAAATGTTAAAAGGTAAATTCAGGGAAAGAAAAATAGGTGAGATATGTAAGAGAGGCATGAAATATTAATTTCCAGGTAAATAAAATAATGACCTAAAGCATTAACAATTCTTAGATATGTATGCATTTTCAACATTTAAATTATACATGCTGGGTGGGATTTGATGTGGCAAATCCAACATGAACGTGACTTGCAGCAACAGAGTCCATTTGGAGTTGCAGTCCTGTTTATTTTGACTGGTCCCTTTGGTGAAGGAAAATCTGACAGGTCATGGAGGCTTCGGCATATAGCACACACAGTATAAGGGGCTTGCACATAAGTAAGTTTTATTATTACAGGTACTTGTGTAGTGTCAACAATTTAGGCAGCGCCACAGATATTTATTACACACACAACATTTTCCACATTTTGTCATGTTACGACCAAAAAACACATGTATTTTATTGGGATTTTATGTGATAGACCAACACAAAGTGGCCCATAATTGTGAAGTGGAAGAAAAATAATAATTTTTTACAAATAAATATCTGAAAAGTGTGGCATGTATTAGTATTCAACCCCCGAGTCAATACTTTGTAGAACCCCCTTTTGCTGCAATTACAGCTGCAAGTCTTTTTGGGGATGTCTCTACCAGCTTTGCACATCTAGAGAGGGACATTTCTGCCCATTCTAATTTGTAAAATAGCTCAAGCTCTGTCAGATTGAATGGAGAGCAATTTTCAAGTCTTGCCACAGATTCTCAATTGGATTTAGGTCTTGACTTTGACTGGGCCATTCTAACCCATGAATATGCTTTGATCTACACCATTCCATTGTAGTTCTGGCTGTATGTTTAGGGTCGTCGTCCTGCTGGAAGGTGAATCTCTGCCCCAGTCTCAAGTCTTTTGCAGACTCTAACCGGTTTTCTTCTAAGCTTGCCCTGAATTTGGCTCCATCCATCTTCCCATCAACTTTGACCAGTTTCCCTGTCCCTGTTGAAGAAAAGCATCTCCACAACATGATGCTGCCACCACGTTTCACGGTGGGGATGGTGTGTTCAGGGTGACATGCAGTGTTAGTTTTCTGCCACACAGCGTTTTGCTTTTAGTCCAAAAAGTTCAATTTTGGTCTCATCTGACCAGAGAATCTTCTTCCACGTGTTTGCTGTGTTCCCCACAAAGCTTCTTGCAAACTGCAAAAGGGACTTCTTACAGCTTTCTTTCAACAGTGTCTTTCTTCTTGCCACACTTCCATAAAGGCTAGATTTGTGGAGTGTAGGACTAATAGTTGTCCTGTGGACAGATTCTCCCACCTGAGCTGTGGATCTCTGCAGCTCCTCCAGGAGTTACCATGGGCCTCTTGGCTGCTTCTCTGATTAATGCTCTCCTTGCCTGGCCTGTCAGTTTAGGTGGATGGCCATGTCTTGGTGGACTTGCAGTTGGTCCATACTCTTTCCATTTTTGGATGATGAATTAAACAAAACAGTGCTCCGTGAGATGTTCGAAGCTTGGGATTTTTTTTAATAACCTAACCCTGCTTTAAACTTCTCCACAATTTTATCCCTGACCTGTCTGGTGTGTTCCTTAGCCTTCATGCTATTTGTTCACTAAAGTTCTCTAACAAACCTCTGAGGGCTTTGCACAACAGCTGTATTTATGCTGAGATTAAATCACACACAGGTGGAGTCTATTTACTAATTAGGTGACTTCTGAAGGCAACTGGTTCCACTAGATTTTAGTTAGGGGTATTAGAGTAAAGGGGGCTGAATACAAATGCACGCCATACTTTTCAGATATTTATTTGTAAAACAATGTTGAAAACCATTTATCATTTTCCTTCCACTTCACAATTATGTGCCACTTTGTGTTGGTCTATCACTTAAAATCCTAATAAGATACATTTACGTTTTTGGTTGTAACATGGCAAAATGTGGGGTATGAATACTTTTTCAAGGCACTGTACACGTGTGTGTATGTGTGTGTGTGTGTGTGTATATATATATATGTATATATATATATATATATATATATATATATATATATATATATATATATATTCCCCCCCAATATTTTCACATCAGACCCTGCCCTCAAGGGGCACACAATCTAAGGTCCCGAACTCATAATCATAAATACAGATATTAGGGCCAATTTAGACAGGAGCCAATTAACCTACCAGCATGTCTTTGGAGTGTGGGAGGAAACTAAAGTACCCAGAGGAAAACAACAAAGGCACAGGGAGAACATGCTGGCTCCAGGCAGGTTATGCCCTGGTTGGTATTCAAACCAATGACCCTAGTGCTGCCAAGCAGACTGCTAACCACTTAGCTGCCCAATTTCATCATCTTACTCTCCAGATACTGGATGACTTACAGTTAGGTCCATATATATTTGGACACAGGCACAATTTTAGTTTCCTTCAGGTACTTACCAAAACATATTCAAGCTATAGTTATATAATGGATATGGACAAAGTGCACACTCTCAGGTTTAATTTGAGGGTATGTACATCCAAATTGCAGGAAGGGTCTAGGAATTACAGCTCTTAAGAGTAGCCATCCCCCTTTTTCAATGGACCAAAAGTAATTGGACAATTGAATCAAAAGCTGTTTAATGGCCAGGTGGGGCTACTCCTTCGTTATTTCTTCATCAATTAAGCAGGTAAAAGGTCTGGAGTTGATTCTAAGTGTGGTATTTGCATCTGGAATCTATTGCTGTGAACTTACGTCATGCGTTCAAAGGAGCTGTCCATGCAAGTGAAACAGGCCATTGTAAGGCTTCAAAAACAAAACAAATAAATCTGAGAGATAGCAGAAACATTAGGAGTGGCCAAATCAAGTTTGCTGCATTTTGAGGAAAGAACGTACTGGTGAGCTCAGCAACATAAAAAGCATAGACGTCCACGGAAGACAACAGCAGTGGATGATCGCAGGATCTTTTCTATGGTAATGAAAAACCCATTCACAACAAACAATTGACGGACACTCTCCAGAAGGTGGGCATATCATTGTCAAAGTCTACAATCAAGAGAAGACTTCATGAGAGCAAATACAGAGGGTTCACCACAAGGTGCAAACCATTCATAAGCCTGAAGAATAGAAAAGCCAGATTAGACTTTTCCAAAAAAAAATATCTAAAAAAGCCAGACCAGTTCTGGAAAAGCATTCTTTGGATGGATGAAACTAAGATTAATCTGTACCAGAATGATGGGAAGAAAAAAGTGTGGAGAAGTCTTGGAACACCTCATGATCCAAAGCACACAACGTCATCTGTAAAACATGGTGGAGGCAGTGTGATGGCATGGGCATGCATGGCTTCCAGTGACACTGGGTCATTGGTGTTTATTGAATTCTGCAGTGTTTACAGATGTACTGTCAGCCCAGATACAGAAAAGTTGATTGGACGGCACTTCACATTACAGATGGACAATGATCCAAAACACACTGAAAAACAACCCAGGAGCTTTTGAAGGAAAAGAAGTGGAATATTCTGCAATGGCCGACTCAATCACCTGATCTCAACCCAATTGAGCATGCATTTCACTTGCTGAAGGCAAAACTAAATGCAGAAAGGCCCACAAAGAACTGAAGACAGCTGCAGTTAGAGCCTGGCAAAGCACCAGAAAGAAGGAAACCCACTCTTTGGTAATGTCCATGGGTTCCAGACTTCAGGCAGTCATTGCCAGTAAAGGATAACTGAACAAAATATTACAAATGAACATTTTATTTATGATTATATTCATTCATCCAATTACATTTGAGCCCCTGAAAATGGAGGGACTGTGTATAAAAATAGTTGCAGTTCCTAAAATCTGTACTTGATATTTATGTTCAACCCATGTATTAAAGTTGAAAGACTGCACTTCAAATTCATTTGGATTGTTTCCTTTTAATTTATTCTGGTGACATACAGAGCCACAAAAGTATGAAATTGTGCCTGTGTCCAAATATATATGGACCTAATTATATATTGAAAAATATCCCATCACCCCACTGTCATAGAAATGTAATTTAGAAAATTGTGTTAAAAAATAAAAAAAACATCTATACAAAAATGCATGCTTTCTGCTTATCTAATCAATTTTTATACAGGACAGAAAGTACTATTGCTACAAAGTCTATGAACTTCCATAAATAAAAGTCAGTAAGATCTCAAGATATGTATTTATTCTTACAACATCCCAAAAACCCCCCACTGTATATAGTTTAAAATAGGAATAAACTAAAACTAAACATAAAGTGGATAAAGCAGTATGCGGCTAAACATCTGGTTATAAACTTTAAAAAGAAGGTTGTATTTATGTATCCCCTTCTACACTCCACCATCCAGACGGTTTAGTACAGGTTACTTACCTACAACCCTGTGTGCAAAATTCTATGCACAGCACAGCTTCTGGTGGAAATCATCAAAGCTGTACCCATAGGTGAACCTTCCACCAAAGGGAATGGTATTTGTGGTACAGCCCTGAAGATATTAGACAGGGGGCAGACACATTATATAGTGGAGATCTCAGAACAGATGTTTTCTATAAGTATAATCTATACTGAAGTGCTGGGGAGGGGAGCAGAAAAATATAAGTGCACCTACTTAAAGCAGAAAATATTTGCTCAAAAAGTTGAAACACAGAATGACACTTAACTGGTCTTACCCGAGGTAGTGACAGCTGGCAAGTTAAATATCTCTGTCCCTGGCTGAGCAGCTGCTGTAATATAAAAATTCAGATTTCATTAATAACACTGAAGTTTCCTTCTGCTCAGACAGGAATATGTTGTAAAATGTATGCAGAATAAAATGGGTTTCAGTAAAGGGAAAGGACAGTTTTTATCATTAAAGCAGGCCAAGCTTTGGAAAGAAGCATTATAATAAAACTACGATAAAACCAAATGGAAACAGTATAAAACCAGGAGTACAATGGTTATCTGCATCTACATCCATATTTACATCTGCCAGTGAAAACCATTTCACCTTAATTCATTTAAAAATAGCACCAAATAAAATTGATGAACATGGACACATAGGAAAACATTAGGGAGAGTTCGAGGGCTGCTGAAAAAAATCGCTGAACAGCTCCTGAACGTCAGTTTAGCAGCTGCAGTGTACATGAGCCCTAAGAATCTAGTATCCAATACCTTGGGAGAGAAACTGCTTCCATTCACCAGGGTTAGCAGCCACTCAGACTGCTGGGTTGCACACAAATACCCAACAGTAATTACTGTTAGGGAAGATGAAATTGCTTGGCTTCACTGCCAAAAACTAACATGTAGTGTAACATTAAGAGACTTATTCTTATCTGGAGGATGGAATTGGCTGCAGAGTCATGTACGTTTCCTTAAAAGTCTTGCAATTCAAGTCTCCTGCCATATCTCTACCTGTAGTAAGTGTTGGATACACGTAAAAGGAAATCCAATACCTAGGCTCATATCATATCACCTACCGGACAATAGGCAGGACTAAAGGAGAGGTGTAACTGTTCTTAGTATTCAGCCCCCTATAGGATGGGCATACATTCCAGATTCTGATATGCCCCCCCCCCCCCCCTTCATGAATAATAACAGAGATGGCATTTACTGGCAGATTCTGAGCAAGAAAGGTATTACTTTGTTTAAAGTATTTGCCAACATTGACATTAAACCAGTCATTTCTGTATGTCCAATTACTGCCACCACAATTAAGGTTAGATCAGAAAGGAGAAAATGTCAGTCAAGTCCCACTTACCCATATCAGAGTCACCGCCACCAGAGGAGTTTAACTTACGAAATATCTCTTGTTTCTTGAACATCACCATAGGGGAGGTATTCTCCAACTTAGTGAAGAAGGAGGGGAGATAATTCATATTTCCAGGTGATCGGGAATCATTCCTGCAGAAAAGGACAAAAAAAAAGTGAAATTTGTAAACCTACATAATTTTAAAAAACAACCAATGTTAGAAAGACTTCATCTATAAGACATCAAGATTACTCATGGATGAACATGTCAACAAGGACCACCCCAGCCTGAGATAAGATAGTAAAAGAACAGCTACATATTCATGTGGCCAACATTCAGCTCTCCCCTACAATTGGCCTTTTGTATAGCACAATGTAATAGAGTCCGACTGGCTTGCATTTCTGACTTTCCTGAATTTTGCTCTGTAGGAAATTTCTATATCAGGAGGAAATGTTCCAAGCAGGTTTGCATATTCTGGGCAACTAACAAAGTTGCATAGCCAGCTTCAGGGATGGACCTCCCAAAGCAAAGAAGGACTTAAAAAAAAAAAAAAAAAAAAATCTCCAGGCACCTATAAACTGAGTTCTTAAAGCAGGGAATTCCCTCAATAGAAACAATGGATTTATTTTTAAGGCAAGAATGGCCAGATTCACAGCAAGGATAGTTATTTCTTTTTAACCAGTTCCAGACTTTAAGCATGCTAGAGGCGCCCAGTAAGACAAGGTCTTGATAACGCCCTGTGGGTGGGGCGAAACGCGTTGACGCACTTCCGGTTGCCTGTTCCGGCGTCTGACGTCATTTCCGGTGAGTGGAACGCACGCCGAGCGGTGCGTTCCAAGGGGCCATCTTAGCATAGTGGATGAGTCTGCATCTGAGGTCTGCCATCCTGCTGTATACCAGGCTGTGGGGTCTTTATGCAAAGTCGCTGTACTTGGAAAGTGGATCATTTTGAAAAGAAAATCATTGTTGTTTCTAATAAAATGCGGGTTATATCCCGCTAAAATGTGAGTGGTCTGGAGAGATTATTTTGAGGAGAAACCACTACGGTATCACGCTATGGTCTTTTCTTCTTCCTGATTTTCCTTGGGGGATTTGGTGAGAGGAGTAAGCAGAAGAGGCACCCAGACATAAGAGGAAGCAGCATTTGGAGGTCTCATAAAAAGTAAAGGGGGTCCAGGAGCCCTTAATATTCCTGAAAGGCGTGTGACTCACTAATATCTGGTGAGTGCGGTTAATGTTGGTTTTTGCACTGGTGGATGGTGAAGGGATCAAAGGCACGGAAGAATCCAATGAAAATTATAATTTAATTATTATTTGATTTATTTTGTCACGGGACTGTCTACTTAAGTTTTTGGGATTTTTTTGTCACTGGACTTATGAATTTTAATTTTTTTTATTTATATATTTATTTTTATATATTTTATAATTTAATTTTTACTAACACAAAAGTGTTTTTTTTTTTTTTGTCACAGTCTTTAAGTTTGTTTAATAAGTTGAGTAATGCAATTGATTATGTGGGTTTGCGCTGGTTTTTATTGATATAAGTTTTTTTGGTTTTTGCACCTGTGTACAGCAGCATCTCACGGGGAATTGTGTGTTTAATAGGAGAGTCCTGGGCGCTGAGGTTTTGTCTTTTTTACATATTTGAGGTAGTAACTTATGAATATAGTTAGGAAGGAGAGACAGAAGAGCATTTACAACGGTTAGCACACTGCACTTCCAGTAGCGGCGATAAGCCTTTGAATAGGTTCGACACAGTGGCAGAGAATTCTGCTTTAGTAAGACGCTAAGTCGCCTGTTGCTGAATTGGTGTCAGTATAAGACCATGTTCCGGAACAAGGGAACAACTATCAGCCTGAGATGAACTTTGGAGTTTCCCCAGTTCCTACAGTGGAATGACTGCTATTTGTCCCATGTGCTCTTCCTCCCAACTATCTGTAATCCACCATTGCTAAGGGAGTATCTTCTTGGTGTTCTCACAGACTGCATACAGACTGAGGGGGTTCAGCATGTCTAGTATGAAGGAACTGCAATAACCCAGATGCTGAGTTCCTGTGGCTCTGTCTCTGAGGTATCAAGCAACAGGGTGAGACAGATCAATTGTGTCATTGGCAGAAGATAGATGAAAGTGCAGTTAGGACTCTTATAAGCATTACATCACTAGCCAGAGATGAACTTCTGGTAGTGGGAGGAAAAAAAAGACAACATTTAAATATGTAAAAGAAGTGTGGGATTCCCCCCCCCCCGCAATTATACATATCTAGGTGGATAAAGCATCGTTCCGATGCTGCATCTGTCTCCCGTTGGCTCTAAGTATGAGAATTCAGTGATCACACAATCACTGAGTTCTCACAGCCATTCTGAGCAGAGAGTGGTTTGCTCTGCCCTGCACTGGAGTGCTGGACTGTGAAGAGGAGGGAATGACTGGCTCAGGCTCCTAGTGGCTCACTGAGAGGCTGAGCCAGGTGCCATTGCATACTCTGGGATGGATCCCGACTTTTAAAGTCAGGATCTTTCCCCAGCTGAGTGACTTCTGCCCAGTCAGCTGAAACCGGGTCAAGGAGTGCAGAATGAACTGCACTCCTGTGATCCACAGCAGAAGTACAGCCAAAAGAGCTTTGGCTGTACTCCTTTAAACGCTATATCAATGTTACCTATAAGGCAGAATAAAGTGAAACAATAAAAGCTTGGGAAAAAACACTTAAAGTGTGGATTACTCCATAACCCATGCCTTCAGAGCCACTTGTGGCAATTAGCACTGCAGGGTGTCTTGTAGGATAAAAGGATATATTGTAGTGTGTACTACAGATCCACATAATGATCCAAAAAAAAAAAAAAAAATGTCTAGCTATGAGCCAGTATGTAAAGGTACAGGAAAACCTTGTTTACGTTGCCAGTCCCATTCAGGATCCTGGCTTTACCTGCTATAGTGGTCACACACCCACAAAGGGGGTCTTAAGGGTCTGTGTGCCATGGGAATGGACCATGGCATTGGACCTATATAGCATCCTGCGGCTAACTACACTCACATAAGTGCCAAGGTAAGCGCTGAACACAGGATCCAGTGCCCGATGCAATGTTACAGGCTGGCCCTGCTGCTGTGTGCCTGGGTACAGTTCCCAAAGTATACACTGAGGGTAATCTGGAAACTGGTAAAACAATAGAAAACATTTTCTGTAACGGGAGTAAAAGTCCATCACCTAAGGGCACTAACAAAAAACAGAGCATAACAGAGGGGGTTGGGCTATATAGATACACTGGGGGCAGTCCCAGCAACACTTTGTGCCAGTATCCAATCACCTTGAAGTAGTGGCATATAGCATGATCCAAGAATCAATTCCTGTATCATGTACTGCACAACTAAGATAAAGCATTTAAGGATTTTTTAAATACATACATAACTGGGTTAAATGGGTATATTTAAACATAAGTGTTACCAGTGACAGGATAAGTAGGAATATTATTTAATGTGGAGCTCCACCTAAAAGGGGAAGCTCCGCTTTAAGGACTGGTCCCTGTTAAGGATTGGCACCTTTGGGGAGCGGGAACCCAAAAATCGACAGGTACCGGCTCCCACTTCCGCTGTGAATGCCTAGGTCACAGGTCTCCAAACTTTTCAAACAAAGGGCCAGTATACTGTCCTTCAGACTTTAGTAGGTCCGGATTAGGGCCAGTGAGGATAGAAAATGTCCTGGCCCCAGCATCAGTGAGAATAAACATGGCCGCAGGTTGATGGTCAGTAGGAGGAGTAGTGCCCATCATTGGTATTAGTGGGAAGAATAGTGCCCCATCATTGGGTTCAATGGAAGAACTACTGTCCCATTGTTGATCTCAGTGGGAGAAATAGTACCCCAAGGGCCGGATAAAGGGTAGCAAAGGGCCGCAGTTTGGAGACCCCTGACCTAGGCGATTGGAGGCGGAAGTTGTGACCCCCCCCCCCGTAGTCTGCTGGGACACGTGACAGGTACCAGAAAACTACAAGTCCATTCACAAAGTGCAGCGCTACTCACGCTTGCACAGTGAGGACCAGGCTGTGAAGCTGCAAGCGGTCACAGCTTGGTGCCTACACTGAAGGCGTCGGAAACACAGGGCAGCAGGTGAAACGGGCTGCAGGGGGGAACCCGTGGGATCAAGGGATAGGTAAGTGTCCATTTTTTAAAAGTCAGCAGCTACAGTTAAAGTATTACTTGACCTATTGACTTGCTATGCATTTATAGCCCTTTGTTTAGAGTTCTCTACCTGACACTCAGAAGATCCTAGCTTCCTCACTTAGGAGCATTATTTCTCGTAAGTAAGGCTGCATAAATTAGCAATGCAGAATAATGATACCATCTGTGAGAAATCGAAACAAAAAATATAAAGGTGCACTAGTCACACAGTCTGACATTATGCATACCTTTGTTCAGCAGGCTCTGACCTTTGGGACAGTAACATGATATTGTCTTGTTTTGAGTGTAAAATGGGAGCCTGTGGGGGTGATATAGGCTCATATGGCTCACTCATGTGTCCTCTTTCTGGCGACTTTCCAGGCCTGGATATAACACAGAAAACACAATTACTTTCAATAATGTACAATTATAATATTGGCTTAGAGGAACCTCAATGAGCAGCCTAAAAGAAAACTCATGGATTACTAGCTTCAAAGACAGAGACTTTTGAAAATGATCCCATTACCTTCCTCTAGGTTTGTCAGGCATGTTTTCTGGAGACACCCTAGAGGCTGGCCGCTGGTGGTGTACAGGCTGAGCCTGAGAGTCTGGGCTGAACCTGTTGGATGGCTTGGATCGGACGGGTGCTGCTGGTGGGGCAGTGTTCTGGAATGTTGATGTAGGTGTCTGCTGAGAAGCTTGAGAAGTTGATTGATTCCTGGCAAAGTCTTGTGTGATAATATGCTGCAGAAAAGTAAAAATCATTAGTTACACACACACATAGCTTTTCAAGTCGTAATTGTTGGAATTCTCCGAGAAAAACATTTTTTGTGCCGAACTGTAAGAGTTGAAAACATTCTGGTAACTTTAGGTTTAGGTGAAAATACTACTTTCTAAACTGGAAATTCAAGTGCAATACATTATGGAAATAATTATGTGTGACCTGTTTTACATTCAAAAAAATGAGTAAATTTGTTTAGCTAGTCTTGCAACGCTTAGACCTCTACAATACTGCAGGACAAGGAAGAGGACCTCACTTTTTTCTTGCCTTTATTTGAGCTTCCCAGTTTTTGTGACTGCTCAGAAAAGAAAGCTGATGATGTGTATTTGGCACATGTTTTTTAAACCAGTGAGCATGGGGCTGCCTCAGGCAAGCAACTATATTTCAATAGTAAGCCGATGTGCAATGCTACAAGAATTAGACTGGAATGTTACTTTGTTTCCTGTCTAATACAAACACAAAACTCCTATGTACCATGGAAAGATGTGCTGGTTAAAAAAACCCAAATAAACTGTGAGCAGTTATCCTATAGTTACAGAATTATACTGATTGTCGTATACTATGCTTTTCAACATAAAGCTATCAAATACAGTAAGAACTGCGTGCAATGCTTACACATATGTGATCAGCTAGGGTAATGAGCCTGTGGGTCTGTGGCACATGGGCGGGATTAGGCTGCTGTGGGGAGGGAGACTCTTGTTGTGTCCTGTAGCGACTGGCTTGGGCTTCATATTGCCGACTGTTTTCATCTGAAACACAGGAATTAAATTATCCATCAAGACATAAATCTGCATTGTGGAATATAATCCAATTCGAATGTGAAGGATTATATATAAAATTAAGATTGTTTACAAGTAAAATCCTTTTCTTGGAGTACATCACAGGACACTTCATATTCATGACTACTTGGGTTATGCTGACACCTTCAGGTGGACACTGGCCAAAAAAAAGGCAGAGATTCCCAAATCCAGGCATAACCTCTGCCAATTCAGCCAAGCCTCAGTTCTCAAGAGAAAGGAATAGGAGAAAACACTTTAAGCTTAGAAAAAAAAAAAAAGGGCCTCAACATCACATTATCCTGGTGAAGAACCAGGAATGGTTCCTTGCAGGTAAGCAAAGCCAACTCCGAGACCCTGTGAGCAGAAGTAATGGCAACCAAAAAGACAATCAAATGCTAATTATTACTCGTGAGCTAATATGGTGAATTTCTATAAATAGGTGAAATACAAAAAAGTATATATAAATAAAAAAATTAATAAATGTGTCTTGAATCAAAAATAATAAAAATTAAATCACCTTATTATAAATGCACAAATAGGTTCGCAAACACATCACACCAACTCATTAATAGTGTCAGAATTCCCCCTGATGAAGCCACGTGACCGGTGGAGTAATGCGTAGGGGAGGGGCTCTGACGTCACCACGCCCAGTCGGCTTCTATACGGCGAGTACAGCTAGTGTGCGGTGCACACAAGGAGATATGCATTAAAGCTTGTTTTAATTATTAAAATGTGAGTGCAATACAATGGCTATGCAATAAAGTGTTTTATAAGGGTAAAGCACTATCTTTTGTTCTTTTTTTGGCATTATATGTGTGGAGACTTCTGGAGTGGATCCAGGAGGATTATTCCCCTTGGAGGTGAGAAGGAGGAAATATCCATCCATCCACAGATCTGCATAGGATAGTAATGAGAGGAGAGACAACAGGTGGATAATCAGGAAATCACGCTGTGAACACATTCAAAGAAGGTGGTGAACATCAGTGCACATTTTATCCTTTTAGGACAAACAGCTTGTTTAGCCTGTATTTTTGGGCTAAAAATGGAGGTGAGCGCATAACTGAGCTTCATATATACCGCAATCATCTATATGTTGGAGTGAAATCACCTACTTTTACCCATCTCTCAGAAAAGGAGGATTTCACTTTATTATTGATATTGGACACATAATAATGTTATTACACTAATATTTCTCTATATCCTAAAGGGATCATTCAAGTAATTTGTGTACGGTTTGGATAATATATTGTAAGGACTTACACAGTTTTTATAGTTTATTTACATCAATATAGGAGTGCAGCACAGTTATTTGTTTTTAACCAAAAAGACAGCCTTGCAAAAAATGAGCAAGCTACTTTTGCTCCTTTGACGATCATGTTCTCTGAACCGAGAAGATCTCCTGAGCACCTCTCCAACCCAAAAGGCCGCCATACACGGTCAAGACCTTCCAATTCATTTGAAGGATCTTTCAATATCCAACCATCTCTGTGGAATACAGCCAATTCAGGGCTCACCTGGTCTTGGAAGACAGATGCATTGGCATATCCAACGACTACTGATGCCTGTCCCAAACCAATAGGATATCGAATTGAAATAATCTAGAATTAAACTGGGCATATGGGAGCAAATCAAAACACAGCTACCATCTACCCTCATGCAGCCTAAACACTCTCAGTCATTTAATCACAACCAGAGGTAAATTTTGCGTGTTCAGCACCCAACCAAAATTCCTCTGTTAAAAGGAACCAGAGGATTGTGCCTCTTGAAACAGTGGAAATACCACACATAATGGTTAAGGTTCAGAGCTAATTTGACCCTTACAGGCATCATTACAAGGCAAACTGTGCCGCAAAATCCTTCCCTCCACTGCTCTGCAGGTGTAATGCCAAAGCTTATTGAATGTCAGTAGGCCTATAACCCAAAAATCTAGTAGCCACCAAGCTTAGAGGAGTGTCTGCCAAGTATCAAAGTTCTAGAAGAGGATTTCCTGCCTATTTTTGCCAGTTTACATTTACCTGAAGGTGGCAGCATACCCAAAGTAGTCATGAATATGAAGTGCCCTGTGTCATGTGCTATACGATTAAGAAAAATATATTTAGTGAACTTACTTTCAAGCTGGCTTGGTTTAGGAATTTCCTGTGGGTAACTTTCCTTCTCTTGGACTTGCACCGGGGAGCTCGCTGGGCTGATAACTTCAATAGTGTCCCTGGGTGGCTCATAGCGATGGGAAGACACTATGGAATGAAAATATCAAGCATAGACTAAATAACCCATCCATATATAAAGCCAATATAGGAAAACAATAACATACCAATCCAAAGTACGCATCTGCATATCCCTGCCTTTTACTAAACCAAAAAATAGTCCAGTTCAGTTACAAGTTACAGGATATTAATCTGCTGTACTCACCACTCATGAAAAAATGCTTTACAGAGTTGTATGTCAAGATATTTTTGTACCAAGTGTATAAAATTCAATAAATATTGTTTAAAATTAAAATACGTGTATATTAATTGGTCTGCTTGAAAAAGTTATAACATCTACAAACTATGGCAAATATACTGGAATTCTTTCTTTCTTTTTTTTATACTAGTAATGGTGGCGGTCAGTGACTTCTAGTGGGGCTGTGATAGTGTCAGATTGCCCGCCGCACTAACTGATAATAATATACACTGCCAATGTACTGACACTGACTGGGAAGGGGTTAATATCTAGGGGTAATCAAGGGGTTACTTGTGTGCCTAACAAGTGTTATTGTGTGCACTGTGTGCTGCTTTTTACTACAGATCGATTTGTTTCTTTTCCCTGCCTAACAGGGAAATGAAACCAAGTGATCGTTCCCTCTGCATACAGCCCTGTGGTGTTTGTCAACACAGGGCTGTAGGCTGTGACTCGACACAGCCAGTCAGCAGGTTCCAGCCAAGAATCATTGACCGGGATCTGTTGACGATCTCCCACTGTGTCAAATCACAGGGGAGCAGATGGGCGGGGACGCTCATGCGTCTGAAACCCAGAAATGGGCTGCGACGTACCAGTACTTCATGGTGCCTGAAGCTGCTGCAGTATATGTACTGTGGCGGGTCCAAAAGTGTTTAAGTGAGCTTATCCACACATTTAAAAAAACAAAACAAAAAAAAAAACCCTTGTTTTAATACAAATATATTGCAGCAGGACTAGGCAGAGGACCTCACTATTTTCTTGTCTTTATTTGAGCTTCCCAGTTTTTGTGCCTGGTATAAAGATATGAGATCCTGGTAGGGAATATTTAGCCGCTAGTACTGAAAAGGGCTGGAAGGTACGTTTGGTATCATCAAAGATAGATATGACTTTAGTGAGTCCTGCTATGAGACCAGTGGGTAAATGATGCATGCTCACTCGCTGGAGGGAACATAGGGTTTCCAAGAGAAAACAGGTGGGAGGATATCCTTAGCGATAGGCCAAGTAGTTTCCGCATTTCCCTCCAGGCCAATACTGTGTCTCTAATCAGGAGATTCGATCAGAGAGATTGAGGTAAACCTTGAGGTTAGAATGCAGATTGGCTGGAAGGTGTAGCAGAGACACCAGGGCCTCCTCTAAGGAGTAGTTCGAGTAATGTGATTTCCCAGTAATCCAATCAAGACTCTGACGAAGAAGACAGGACAAGTTGTAAAATCTAATATTCGGCAGGCCTGCACCCCCCTCACTCTTTTGGAGACTAAGCTTTTGAAATGCAATATGCGTCTTTTTACGTTGCCACAGAAAGGTCTGTAGAGCCCTATGAATCTTCTGAACATCAAAATGTTTTAACAGAAGAGGGAGAGTTTGCAGAGAATAGAGCAATAGAAACCATTTTGTACAGATGACATGTCCCAAAGAGTGAAAGGGGAAGAGTCGTCCAAACTTGTTCTTGTACAATCTTGTTGATTAAAGGAGGGTAATTTAGGTAATAAAGTGACGATGGTTCTCTGCCTATGCAGATGCCCAAATACATAATGGATTGAGTAGCTATACCAAAGGGAGAGGAAGGAATCCAACGCTTTGATGTAGCAACATTCAAAGGGAGTACTTCTCTCTTATCAAAATTGATTCTGAGGCCGGAGCATTTACCGGAAGGTCGCAAACAGGTCTTTAAGAAGTAGCAATTCTTTGGGTGGAACAGTAATATATCATCCACAAAGAGAGCTGAGCCGAGAGTAAGGTCACCAATTGTGACACCACTAATGTATGGTCTTTTTACATTTATATATCAAAAAACCCAGTGATGATCAAATACCACCAAAAAAAAAAAGCTCTATTTGTGTGGAAAAAAACCCCATTTGGATAGTGTTGCATGACTGAGCAATTGCCAGTTAAAGTAGCGCAGTGCTGAATAGCAAAAAAATGCTCAAGAGGTAAACAAATCTGTCAAGGCTTATGATTTTTGTTCTAGTTACCATTTGTATCCCATTTAAACACAAGGTAGCTCATACTATGTATACATGTCGTACTTCCGGTTTCATAATGCTGCACAGTTACTGCTTTTTACTGTTTCACTTATTTATTTCAAGTTGATCAGTCTGCTAAAACTGCCAGGGAATAAGCTGGTCACTAGGAAGGCTATCTTGTAATTTATTTTATTTTGGAATGCAGACATACCCAAGTAAGTGAATATACAAATACACGTACAAAATACAGCACATCAAAATGACTTGCATATGAAAAGCACAATGCCATTAAATACTGACTGAAAATACCCTGAAGTGTTATATTGTTAAAAACTGTAGGGAAGCAGTTGTTCATAGCAATCAGATACGTTTTTCAACCCAGTGCTTTCCACAGTGCAGGACTAGCATCACTGGTGGTATTTATTATACTGCTTGTAGATGGCACTTGGTAAGGGTCATTTTAGATAGGGCAAATGGGAAAAATGTAAAGGTATTAAAGAAATGCATTGAGGGAGAGCAGGCTTAATTAACAACAAAAGCAATCTGACTGAACAATGCATAGGATAGACTGATCAAAATACAACAGAAATAACCAATGACCCAGTAAAAATGAACTCCACTACAATTAAAATTAGACAAAGTTATATACTTACAGCTACTGGAGGAATTGGAGCTTATTGAACCGCGCTCTCGTGCATCTTTGTCAGAAGCGATCTGCTGTGTTATAATCACATCTATAAAGTTGGCTGCAGTGATTGTGGTCTTTCCATGGGCTTTTAATTTCTTCCACATAGCGTGATTTAGTATGTGCAGGTTTATCTTTGCCCGCTTCAGAATACACAGCTGGAGATGGCTGGCTTTGCGACTTGCTACTAGAGAAACTGGAGGAGGTGTATGGGCTTTGAACCAGTCTACGCTCAGTTTCCATCTGCTGCTGCTCCAGTGCTGCACGCCTTGCTATGTTTTCTTCTGATCTTGCAGACTCGTGTTTGCTTTCCTTTGGCTTGGAAACTTCCATCTGTGGAGCAGAAGCTGCAGCGTCTACTAAAGCAGCTAATGCATCAGCAGCGGTGCTATACCGGGAGGCTGGGGTTCCATGAGTGATGGAAGCAGCACCAGGATTCAGAGGCCTAGCAAAGAAGAAAAGAGATTACAAGCTTGAGCAATATTATCAAAATATTAAAATTACTTTCCGTTGAAGTACCTTTGCAAGAATTTAATGGTGGCTAAATCCTTCATTTTAAAATGTATTCAACAATAATACATACAGACTACAATTACATTGTGCTAAATCAGGGAAGAGGGCTTGTCCCTTGAAATGCTTCAGCTGCACCTTACCTGGAGACTGATCTAGGATATGCTAATGTTTTTTTCGCCATATGTGTGTATTCTGATATACATTTTTTTATTTAACAGTTTTACAATAAGGCACTAGGCTGGTGCGCCTACTTATTTTTGTTTATAGTCTTGGTTCTCCCCAAATTGAAGAGGGCAGCAAGGCTCCAGTGCATACAGTGGTGGTTCAAGATGGCGTATGCATAGTGTTCCATTTTGGGTGTTCAAGGTGGAAGAATAGTCCATTTTGGGCCCCTTGACGATTGGACTGCCAGAAGGATTGCTACACCCGTGGAGCGGACTTGCACTTTTATGGTGTACAATACTTACAACACGCTACCTTGCATATTGTTCCATATCTTGAAAAGAGGGAAGGGACCCCAATCCCCCAATGTGTCAGCATTGGATGCTTGTGCAGCTAATTGCCGAACACCAGTGCCTGCACATGGGGAAGAAGGATAGAGTCACATGTCCCCTATAACCAGAATCACTGAGTGAGTTTCTCCACTCCTGGCAGTTAGAGTGGTTGAGAGGAGAAGGCAAGGCAGGTATGGTGGTGTTGCAGCCACTAAGAGTGACCCAATTGCTTTGTTCTGCATAAGCAAAAGCACGTGTTTGCTGGTCCACAAGCACCATAAAAAAAAAAAAAAATCCAATGCCATTTTATTATGACAGATTTTCTGTGATGATGTGATGAAGTCTTGTAGTCAACCTTATTGATCCCTTACAATTCGTAAACTACTCGTGATGGTATAAGTTAAAGTGTGATGTCTGGTTTGTCAAATGAAAATTTTGATTTCATTTCAGGTGTTCTTATGTCCATTTCAGAAGGCAAGCAAAAGGTAACGACACGATGAGCATTCATGAGCCCATATATCAAAGTGATAACTATGAAAGTCCTTGCACACCAACAGGGATAGAGCTCAGGTTTAGAGTACTGCCCTTAGGGGAGAAGAGAACTATTTCTTAGTGTCAGATCTGCTACAGACTGTGTATATGTACAGAGGTAATGTGGAACATGCCTTTGAGCAATAAGAGAAATGACTGGTCATATGTGCCCCTCTAGAGTAGCAATTTACCACCCAAATCCAGGATAGTGTGGTCAGAGCCAAACCCGCATATGGCAGGAACTGCAGGCACTTGTTGCCTGGACTAGGGAGACTAAGGATCTATATTGTCCAGCTTGTTACAAAGCCAGCAACTTGTTAGGAAAATCTTAGGAAATAAAATCCACAAAAAAAGAAACTAAGATTTGTCAGTGTGGAAGCTTAGGTTCTTAATTCCCGATGCTGGCAAAAAACTGAGCTGCCTCTAGAAGTAGGGGAGCATGGCCACCATCAGGGGCCACCCCTAGGCTGTACCTACAGTTCTACCCCTGCAGGTGACACTATAACCCAGTCGTTAAGATCTACTAATCTTTGCTATGTCCCTCCATGATCTGAAGAGAAATGACATTGGCAACAATGTTAAATGCTGAAGCTATTAAATTTTAAGAAATATAAATACATATTTCAGTATACAATATAGAGATAAATTAAACATTTATATATAGAAAAAATATAGGATATAGGAAAAATTATACACACATGATTCGCAGCTGTGAAGGGTCTAGTGGTGTGATGACACTTTTTCCATTAGCTCCATGTAATATACTCGGCCGCTGTGGCATCATGTTCTCCTGGGAACGGACTGATGGTGACGGTGACCGTACATATCCGTGACTGCCTGGTCTACTAGGCGGCTCTGCACCTACATTAAAAAATAGGTGCATCAAAAGACATCAATGTGCTGCAAACCAAGGTAATGCATTACCAAAAAGATTGGGGCAGTAGAGGATATATTTGGGTCTTCATAGAACAGAAGATTGTGCGTATTACCTAAGCTTTTTCTGGGTATCAATGTGCTCATCTTACTATGGCAATTTTAGCATTTTGGAGATCTTGTCTGCCAATCAGAAAAACTCTGGCGCATCACTCTGATACCAGACTCTTGTAAACCTCTTTACAGCAACTAGTTATAAAGGCAGGATTGAATATTGTCCTTTCAAAATTCCTTTCTATAGGCACATTTTAGCTTATTTAACCACTTGAATACTTTTGACATAGTTGGTACACAGCGCTCTGGAGGTGTTTGGGGGGGGAAACCACTGCACAGAGCAGGTAAGTATAACATGTTTATTTGTGAGAAAAAAAAAAAATACTGCCTTTAATATCACTTTAATGCAGGGAATGCATTACGGTAAAGCACATTTTAGCTTTAGAACATGCAACCCAAAAGCACTCATGATTATCTTGTGCTAATTGCGCACCTAGATAGATGCAGCATCGATCTGATGCTGCATCTGTACCCCATTAGCTCAAAGGCTGAGCAGAGAGCAGTGGCTGTCAGTCACTGGCTCTCTGCAGCACAGGGGTAGGAGAGGCTGGCTCAGGCCTTCGGGTCTTGTTGAGAGGCTAAGCAAGGTGCTGGTCTAGGCTCCTGGTTGGATTCCGACCATATGGTCACAATCTTTCCCCAGCCTGGACTAACTCTGTGATGTCAGCCATTATGCCATACGAGCTTTGGCCTGTATTTCTCCTTTTAAAGTCTAAAAAGATGCCTTTCGCTACCAATAATGAACTGGGGTCAGCAATTATAAAGTACACATAAATTATTAAATTATAAGAAAATAACTGCTCACACTGTTTCTTCAGGTTTTCTGGTTTTTATTCATTTCCATGAAACACAGCCATAACGACCAGTGTTCTGTAAGAGTAGTGCTGCTCACCTGCTCGCAGATAATGTTCACTCTGTGCTGAGGCTGCGGCTATTCTCTCTCGCTCCCTCTCTCTTTCCCGCTCTCGGTCACGCTGTTCTTTTTCTCTTTCACGTTCCCTTTCTCGTTCTCTCTCCCTTTCAACATTGGCAGATGATACAGGAGTTAAGTGTGCTGGGTGACCTATAAAAGAGGACAGTTGTTATGAATGTCATACAGAAGCGTGGGACAGCTTGGTCTCCACAGTCTACAGAGGGAAATATATAAAAAGAGAAAGAATTCTTGTTTATCTAAGCTCAAATTCAAAAAGCACAAAAAAAAAAGAAAAAAAAAAACCCATAGCTTTAACATCTCTCAAAGTCCAAATTAAGTCCAATGTAACCCAGCCCTAAGATCCACCCTCTAGCCTTCAACTACCAATTGCCAGATCTCTCTACTACCCTCTGCCACTTGACGCTGAATGAAAGGGGATAGAAATTGGAAGTAGAAGTGAGTAGGTCTAAACCTTGAATTTAAAGCACAAGAACTTTTGTTACCAGAGGCACCTTTAGGCTAGGTCAGGTTAACTTTAATATTAGATGCCAGCACCACTGATTCAAAAATCCCTAAAGTAACCAGTTTTCAGCTATATAATATGAAAAAGCAATGTTGGCTGGAAAGTACACATCCTAATACCAAAATTATTCCCAACACAACCGCCATAAGTTAAGCAAACTCAAATTACTTATTTCATGTCAATATGTAGGCAATAAATGTGAATGACTGCAGTAAAAAATCAAAGAATACATTAAGAATTTGGAAAGCAAAAAGTAACAAACCTGGAGACAAAGAAGATGGAGGGTTGTATGGCCTAGTAGGGAAAGCAAGCTGAGCCCCTGGCATATATGTAATTCTGTCCATCGGGGGAGTACTTGTTCCGCCAGGATGAGGGACGAGAATAGTGGGTGGCATGTTATTTAAGTCTATTATACCTGTTTAAAGACATATTTTCATATGATGTCAAGGGTATAAAAAAAATCATCATAGCACACATCTATCAAAACACTCAGTACACGACAGTCCGTTAAAATTAAGGAAAATAATGAACTAACCTCGTGCTCCAGTATAGGGTATTGCTAATCCTTGTTCCCTAGGAGAAAGCCCTCTGCCAACGTCTGGCCTTAAATTAACCTGCATCTGCTGGGAGGTGATGTAGTCATTTAAGATTGTCTGTCGTGTGTTCTCCATGGCATAGAGCTGGTACTGGCTTGGGTAACCTGGTGTTGGGGAAAGCTGCCTTTGAAACAAGTAGGCTGCTGCAGATAAAAGTAAATTGGAAATAAAAGTTTATGAGTCACTACAAGATAAGGAATAACTTCACCCAAAATCTGTTTTGTTGTGAAAATTGCAATAAACATGCACAATGATTTAAATCAAAGCCACATTTAGATCTGCGATATCTGGGTGGGCATCTTGTAACAGCCATGAGAAAAGCAAAGATGCTTCCTATAACACATGGCACTTGAAATCTTGTTGGGATAGAGCTTTCTTTCAATACACAAAAAATAGAAGTAAAAAGTTGCATTTCACTAGCAAATCCCTGAACAGAGAACCCTTTAGATATGTGACAGTTGAGCAGGTAAGAACTGAAGAGATTATGGGTAACTGAAATTATGCTATCTACAAGGACACAGTACAACATAAAAATAGCCCACATAACTAGGAGCAGAACATATATGTGACACCAGGTCTCTTCCACTGCCATGTGACAAGTCTAAATATTACACCATTCACACCATGGTGCAGAGTTGTCGGTTTTTCTGTATACATTCTGCAAGGGCACAACAAAATCAATTGTTCTCTATGTGCCCTGTTCACACCACAACTCTAGTATCACATGCAGATTTTTTTTTATGCACAGGAATTGGCAATATGTATAAAACTCATTAAAGAGTGCATGAAAACTGATTTAAACTGATGTCTCTGTAAGTGAAATCTGTGCATCAGTTTCCATGCACATATGGTGTGAATGAGCCCTTTAAAAAAAAAAAAAAAAAAAAAAAAAAAAAACCCAATTTGGGAGCAAATTTCAATAAACCCACTTTGGTTTTACTACCATTTTCCTCAGAACACCAAATGACTGTAAACTCTTGTCTCACATCTGTAATCCGACTATAAGGCCTTGTGTTAGTGGCATCAGTTTGAGATGTTTCTGAGGGAATTACCAACATTGAACTGTGCAATTAACCTGTAGGTGACTGGGACCCTCTTCCAGACCAGCATTTTACCTGCTTCAAGCAGCTTTTATGGGAATGCAAACTCCTCTTGGGACAGCTTTGGCTGTTACTCTAGCAATCAAGAATCAGTCTATGTGATCATATGCAAAGCTGGTCGTTTATTTGGAAACAAACCACTCAGCTTGCAGAAGTCACTCCAGCCTGAAGATGACAGTGCACCTCTGTACTGGATTTATCAACTGCAATGATAGTATTAAGAAGAAATTTACACATTTCTGTTCACCTGTTAGCCTAGAATATTAGAGCTTTTCGTCAAATTACCTGATGCATTCCAACACACTGAAAATGAGGTCAGGTTATCTATGTATCAATGATCTTTGGTTACAAAGAGGTTAAACAAGAAACAAGAAAAAGGGCAATTTAGAGACTGAACCTCTAAACTGTTATCCTCTCAAAGCAAGGACACCTAGCAAAGAATACATAGGGACAATGTTTGCCTGATTTGTTAAAAATGTATTCCTAGATGAAATCCTGTACATGAGAAAATACCCTTAAAATTACATACCAGGATCCAGAGCTCGGTGGAACTGGATAGGATCAAGGTGAGGTGGTAGATGGCCTCTGTAAACCTCTCCAGGTGTACCTCCACGCATGTGGGGATCAAAGGGACTGTGAGATGCAGCCGGGTCTACACCAGGGACTGGGGACTTTACAACAATATTTTCCCTTTGCGTTGGCGTTAATGTGCTTTTTCTTTCATGGCTGGAAGACTTCCCTGGTGTGAGGCCACCTACAAGAACAAATAACAGCTGTAAAATATTTGTAGGTGAGAAGATACAAGGTATCAGCAAACAAATTTGCTTTAGTCACCGATCTCCTGCTGACAGTTTATCTAGATGCAGATTATGGTTCTAATTATGGCTCTTTGGAAGGTTACTTGAGAGCTCTAAACATGCTTAAGTGTCTTCAGGAATAGTTATTGTTTGATTAGGAAGAGCCAGTGTCTTTGCATTAACACACTAATGTGAATGAGAAAGCTCAAGTGACATCCCATCTGCAGCCATAGCTAAAAACTGCATCTGAACCCATAACGACCAGTTTAGTTGCTGTTTTTGACTTAAAAAAGTAAGAATTTATATACTGAAAAAAAAAAAAAAAAAAAAAAACATCTACTACTACTTTAATCAAAAAGGGTTCATAGCTGAACAAGAAACCCTGGTTCAGCTGTATTACATGACTACTCTAATGCTGACCGTACACTGTTCAAATTTCAGCTAGTTCCTGATGAACTGGATGAAATTTGATTAGCTGGTGGCACTGTAGGATGCCTCCTGCCTGGATCCCTTGATTGAATAACCGAAGGACACGGACGGAAAAATGTCTATGCTATGTAGTGTGGATGGAAGAAATCTGTTTTCCATTCAGGTTGCAAGAAACAAAATCTATATGGCCAAGTTTAATTTTAAACTTATTAGATTTAAAAAACAGACCTACCTTCAGACCGTGCCATAGGTGAACTTCTTGACATTGGGCTGGGGTAGTTTACTGGTGTTCTCCTAGCACTAGAATCCTCATAAATCCCAGGGCTCAACTGGGACTTGGAGGCTTCGTGTAGAGTTGACCTGAGCACCGATGTACCAGAACTCACAACAGATGTATGACGTGATCGCATGGCATCAGATGACTTGGAGTCTTCACATTTTGATCTATCCACTACCTTCAAATTCTCTGGCATCATGTCCATCTGTGGCACCCCACGTTGCAGCCTACTTGGCCCCATGATTAAGGACTTTACATTGTGCTTGATAGCAGACTGACCAGATGTGCCTTCATGTTTTATAGGTGTTCCCTGCATGAAGAACATGAGATTAGGATTAAATATCAGCTTGACTAATACACTCAGATAACACACAAACAGTAATGAGGTTACCTGGGAAATAGACCCTTCTAATAGTGTCCTTGAACTCTCTGGAGTTTTCCGACTTTCTTGACTAATAAGATCCTGCCTAGGGATTTCATGGATAGAACGACCCATTTCTTTAATTGTGGTAACACCATCATAAGGCTTGCCTTTTGAGATGGCACCATCGAAAGACCGAATAGGTGGACTTTCACGTTTGATTTGCTTGGCATATTTGAGTCCATCATCAAAGTTCTCAGGCGTTGCTCTTGGGGTGCCTGGATGCAAAGCAAGAAGACCTTTTTTTTTTTTTAGGATAGCAAAAACAAAACAAAAAAGACAAAAATAAAACAAAAAAAACAAAAATGCTATTTCACATATAATAAAGAAAAAGGGCTCAAATATCAGCTCAAAAATTATCAAAATTAAATTCCATATAAACAGATGACCGTGAAGATCTGCAATTCTCACCTTGCATTATTGAGCCAGTAAGAACCTGTCTTTCCTTCAGTTCTGTTCCTTTAGGTAGTGTACGACAGATAAGCCCTGGAAACACAATCAATATGTAATAAGTTTACTTTCTGTCCACTAATTTTCTGCACCTAACTAGTACAATAGCTCTTAAAGTAGCAGCTGGGCCTCATCTGTGAATTTTAATCTTTAAAGCAATAAATATTTAAATACTTTCAAAGTCTATGTCAGGTAGGTCTATGTAATTATGTTCTAATGAAATCAGCCACTTCCTGCCTCATATGAGATATTTGCATCATTGATGAAGTGGAAATGATCTGAACAGTTAAAGTTTTCAGGACAATATAAAGAATAGGCAGCATCCCGGTTCCACCTATGACAAGCATGTGTTAGTTTAGTTTACACATTTTATAAGTCAATGAAGCCTAGAGGTACAAACCAAACTTAGCAGTGTAAGCTTGACAATTAGGGATGCACCAAAAGTTCGGCCACTGAAACATTTGGGCCGATAAGAAGATTCTTTGCAGATAAGAAAAATAAAGCCGATACAGGGGACTGTGTGTACTGCAGATGTGAGGGGGAAGGCAGAGAAAGGCAGGAGGGGAGCAGTGTATACAGTGACTGGCTGTCACTATATGTCAGTGCCGGTTATTAAATGCAATTGCCTGATTTTTTTTTTTTCTTCACTATAGATCAGAGAATCAGCTGTCACTTTGAGCTAAAAGAAACAAAGTTTATTTTTAGCTTCTTTCCCAAGCTAAAAGAAACAAAGTTTCAATCATACTCTGAGCTATGGTGAAGAAAAAAAAAAAAGCCAGCAATTGCATTTAAAAACCAGCACTGACATATAGTGCCAGTGAGGGAGCCTCTCTGTATACACTGCTACCTCACTGTATACACTGCTCCTCTCCTGCCCCCTCCAAAGATGGCCTGTCACTCATATGCTATCACATAGGGGACTATTGGTCCCCGATGTGAAAGCAATAAAATCATAAAAAAAAAAAAAAAAAATATACATGAAAGTAAAAGAAAAAACAATGGAGCCTCCCCACACTCACATATGCAGAGATTTCGGATTCGGTTCAATTTTCAGCCACATGCATTCTGAATTTTTGTTATCGGTTTTGACACCAGAATTTTCATTTTGTTGCACCACTATTGACAATAACCAATTTGCCAATCTAAATTATTATTAAATTATTATTTTTTTTTTTTTTTTTTAACTAGGACACAGTTTACCTATAACCTTGGTTTTTTTCTTTGTTTGTTATAGGAAGATAAAAACAAAATTTTATGAAAAAAGAGAAATGGACACATCTGTAAATTCCATATCTAAGAAAACAGTAGAGGACACAGGAATTGATTCATAGACCATGTGTTATATGAGATACCTACAGGTGATTAACCGCTTCTTGACTGGGCTATAGCCGAATGACGGCTACAGCATGGTTGTCCAGTTCTGGGAGGGCGTAATATGACGTCTTCCCAGAAAGCACCCGGCGCTGTCTGTGATCGCTATGTCCTTTGGAGACAGCTGATCACATGACACGGTAAAGGCCAATCACAGCGGCCTTTTATGATGTGATCAGCTGTGCCCAATCAGTGCAGCCTCATCAGCGCACGTCAGTGAAGGAGAAAAATTACCTGTTTGCAAAATTTTATAATTAAAAAAAAAAAAAAGATTTTCCAAAATTGTCGGTCTTTTTTCGTTTATAGTGCAAAAAATAACAAAACCCAGTGGTGATTAAATACCACCAAAAGAAAATATTTGTGTGGAAAAAATTATAAGAATTTCATATGGGTACAGTGTTGCATGACCGAGCAATTGTCATTCAAAGTGCAACAGCACAGAAAGCTGCAAATTGGCCTGAGCAGGAAGGGGGTAAAAGTGCCCGATAGGTAAGTGGTTAAAACACTGGCAAAAGCTTCATTAGCACCTCCTAGTGTTTCCATATAACCCCATCCACTCGGTGAGGATCCAGTTTTGTTAGCAAGCAATAAAGAGATCACAGACATCACTTTACAGGGAGAGAGCAAAATCCACCAATACAAGTGCCCTATGAACTGTGCACAGCACTGCGGTAGGTCTGGTGGAATAAGCATGTAGTGTATATTAACAGAGCCATCAAGACATGTAAGCCAGAAACTGGTATGTGAAAGGGTACAAAGAAAGCCTGTCATACTTTGTCTATATCATGGTCCTGTCCAAACCTTGTTGGTCACAAAGGGCATTACCCACCAAAAGGTATTTTCAGGGTCTCAGTGCCAATGGACTACAGCCGTGGAGCTGTATAATACCTGCAGCTACTAAGCAGAATCCAGTGCCCAAAGAAAACATTACAGGCCGTCCTCGATTTTGCCACAGGGTCAAGGTACAGTTCCCAAGGTGTACTCACAGGTCACCGATCGGGAAACTGTGACCCATGAAGTCAGTAAGCAGTCCAGATTTTAGCAGAGGTCTCATTTGAAATCTTGTGGAAAAAAATCTTGTAGGAAATTCTTCTCCAAGTGGAGAAGCACTCATCACCCAAGGGCTGCATTGAAGCTTTTGCCAGTGTTCAATCACCTGAAAAAAAACGGCCTATGAATCAATTCCTCTGCCGTGTACAATAAAGATTATTATTTTTATTTTTTTTTTTTAACTCAAGGCTTATTTTGTGCCTGACCCTCCAGCCTGCATGCATCACCATGATTAGCTGTCATGGTGGCCATCTGGTAAGGGAAACACTGTAATTGGTATGGGCAGCACAGTGGTTAAGTGGTTAGCACTTTCACCTAGCAACACTAGGGTTAACAGTTCGCATCCAACCATGGCACTACCTGCCTGGAGTGTGCATGTTCTCCCTGTGCCTGCATGGGTTTCCTCCCACACTCCAAAGACATGCTGGTAGGTTAATTTGTCCTGTCTAAATTGGTCCTAGTATGTGCATGTAAAAATTTGAGTTAGGGACCTTAGATTGTACACTCCTTGAGGGCAGGGACTGATGTGAATGTGTGATAAATATATAAAGTGCTGTGTAAATTGACAGCACTATATAAGTATCTGTAATAAATAAAATAAATAATTGGTTCACAATCAATAGACTGTAAATTGTTCTACCTAAAAGCAGAAGCTGGCCATGTACTTGTTAGTCTTTCACAGAATACATACACACACACCCCTAATATGGCAAGATGGTACCATCTATGAACAGTGGCGATTTTTGTTCTTGCAGATTATATAAATGTAAAGAGTGTGGTGTACAAGGCAGCTGTTACCTTCCATTGGTGCTGACACAGCAGACTCTCTGACAGACAGGTTCTGCTTTATATTTCCTTCCATGGCTTCATAGGTTCTCTTCAGTGTCATCTCCGGAACACTCCGGGGACTCCTGGTACCATCACGTAGATTCTTAATGGTGGCTGTGTTAAAAATGGAAATTATGACCACGTGGGTAATTCTGATTAAAATCATCCAATAGCACTTCTCTAAAGATTACCCAAGAAACACTTGACCAAAACATTGCTCCAGTCAGCCACACCCACTTTATTTAAATGAAAATTCTATAAATTCTCAACTAAAAACTTGTCTCAAATCAATTACATTTCAGATTTAGTAGAACAGAATATAGGAACAGCAAGCAACTAGAGAAATGTTAAGGCCCTCACAATCTACATTCAACACCACCAAAAGTTAACATGTTAGACAGCCTTTTGCACTCGCCAACAAAACATCACTGCGTACTTCTGCACTCGCTGACACTGCGCCAATATATGCACTTCTGCACTTGCTGCCAATGAATAAACATACACTCATCATCACATCTGTCTCCACCCTCCACAACATAATCGTACCATCTGTCCTACATGCACCAACTTCACTCGCCACTTCACTGACAAATGGCTTGCTACCCTTAGGTCTTCAGCATGCTCAATGAACAGGCACACTGTTGGTTTTGCCATTTAAAAACAAGCACAACAAAGTAATGATTGTTGATAACAACGTCAGTGGTCTTCATTCCCTCCAATAAGCAGAGAAAAGTAGCAGAATTGCCTAGCGATGAAACAATGGCAACTGTAATGAATTCAGAAAAAAATGTATATATTTTAGTCAAAACTTGTGCTCTAACCAGCAAGGGAAGGTAAAGAGCCTCCCCCAGAAGGGCCGCCAGTTGAGGTTCACCGATCCAAAAAGATACATAAGAAACTGACATTCAACATGTCGAAATTCTCTTTTAAAATCAGGAATTGAAAGAATGAGTCTATTAAAGTTCAGTCCTGGAAAACCACTAACTTCTACAGAAAAAGATATTAAAGTTCATCTAAACTATGCTGCTTTTCCTCTTCCATAATAATTGCTAACCACGGCCAAGGTAAACCACACTGTTCATTTTGTGAATGCTTTTGTTGTTTACCTAAAATATCACTAGGAACACTTCTTTCCAAGCCAGAAACAAATGCAAAGTGAAAGAGACAAAGTAAGAAATTCAAAAGCACTTGCATGTTGTTTCTCTGACATGCAAGGTGCTGCTGAGACTACATATCCCAGGGAATATGGATGGATGAGCTTCAAGGTGGCTTGTATGTGGGCATCTAATCTTGGCCCAGAATGGAGCTCTATGCTATAAAGCACTAAAGCCCATGGTAACAGATCAGCCTATTGAACTTGGAAATCAAGGGTTCTGCTGGCAGGATCACCAAGTATGAAGACTCTGTTTGAGGGAGAACTTCACAAAACAAACAACTCTGTCTTGGTATAGGCACGGGCCAGGTCATGAGAATTACACACAATACAAATAAGTAATATAAAAACAAACCAAACTCAGTATAACATAATTAGTAATACTCAGAAAAACATAACTGCAGTTTGAAAAAAAACCTAGATATATTAACACAGATTTAAAAAGTTACAATCACCTTTTCCCAGTAAAACAACAAGTCTAGCAGACTTCTTAAGCTGACAGTACTGCCTATATCTAAGTCAATGGCAGCATGATGTTTGTCATCTGAAATACAGAATACAATGTTCTATTATATGGAAAAATGGAAACAATCCATCTTCATACTCACAATCATAAGATACAATATGTCCACTCTTCCCCTCATAAATGACATGGCCTTTGGCAGAGGACTCTTCTCTACACTTTTCCGGACTACTGATGTCCTCTGTAGCCAGTCTGGTGATGGTCGTCTTCAACAAGACATCGGCAGCAATACCAGACTGTGACAGTGCTGGAGTACCCTGGACAAGGCAAAAGCAATGAAAATATGACACAAAGCAAAACCGTTGGTTAGACCACTCGTCTCTGAACTGCGCGCCAGGTGTGGCCCTTTGCTTGCTTTTATACTGCCCTCAAGCCATTATTCGTCACATTGCAAGCATCAGCGTGGCATAGTTTCTCCCACTGACATCGAAAATAGGGCACTATTCTTCCTATTGACACCAACGATTGAGCACTATTCCTCCTATTGAAATCAACAATGGGGCACTATTCCTCCCATTGCTACTAAAGATGTGGCACTATTCCTCCCATTGCTACTAACGATGGGGCACTATTTCTCCCAATGATACTAACGATGGGGTACGATTCCTCCCATTGCTACTAATGATGGAGCAGTATTCCTCCCAATGATACTAACGATGGGGCACTATTCCTCCCATTGCTACTAACGATGGGGCAGTTTCCTCCCAATGATACTAACGATGGGGCACTATTCCTCCCATTGCTACTAACGATGGGGCACTATTCCTCTCATTGCTACTAATGATGGGGCACTATTTCTCCCATTGCTACTAACGATGGGGCACTATTCCTCCCACTGACACCAATGATGGGGCACTATTCCTCCCACTGACACCAATGATGGGGCACTATTCCTCCCACTGACACCAATGATGGAACACTATTCCTCCCACTGACACCAAGATGGGCACTATTCCTCCCACTGATACTAATGATGGGGCACTATTTCTTCCACTGATACCTAACAATGGGGCACTATTTCTTCCATTGATACCAACGATGGGGCACTATTTCTCCCATTGTTACTAACAATGGGACACTATTTCTCCCATTGATACCAATGATGAGGCACTATTCCTCCCATTGATACCAATGATGGGGCACGATTTCTTCCATTGATACGAATGAAGGGGCACTATTCCTCCCACTAATACCAAGGAGTGGGCACTATTATGCCCCCTACCAAAGATCGGGTATTGTTTACTCCCACTGACGCCAAGGACATTTTCTTCTCCCACTGACCAAAGTCCGGCCCCCCTAAAGTTTGAAGGACGGTAAACTGACCCTTTGCTTAAAATATTTGGAGACCCCTGGGCTAGACTGCTAACTCGCAGGACTGAGGAAAAGAAAATTTTTTTTGCTCTATTTCAATATATAAACGTCAGACCCAGTGTGATATATACCTGAGTAATAGACCCTCGAAGAGAGGAAATAGCTTCCATGGGAACTTTGGTGGCTGGGGTGCCTCTAGTGATGCTTCCCTCCTGCAATGCACTCATAGTACCTGCAACAAAAGCAATGTGTGTGTTAGTAGCTTAGAGCTAGCAGAAGCATAACCGCTTCCTTAAAATGACCTTCAGTACTCTCATTTAGACAAGAATTCACAATGGTCAGGCTGAAGGTAAATACTGCTTTCAAGGCTTCAAAAAATTGCTTGAAACTAGTTGAAAGCTTTGTAAAATGCTTGCTCTACACATGGCTCTTTGGCTTTCACAAGTTGCATATGAACAAGGCCTTTTAAAACTCCACTTGTTGGTAATACTAAATATGAAAGTCATATGAAATATTTTATATTTTTCTATTAAAATGTCTCTTTATTATAGCTATTCTTCAATATTTTTTTTTCTTTTACATTTTTTACCTATTTTTCAATTTTGAACAGATTTTAGAAACACAAAAGTAACTCCCAGAAGAAATCAGTTTTAAGTTGAAGCTATCCTACACGAGGATGGGTCCTTGATAAATTATTGTTAGGAGTAACCCTAGGTTCACACTTGCGTATTTCAGTGTGTTTTCCAGTTTGCAAACATGCACTACAGTCCATTTAACATTATTTCCTATGGACCTAGCTCACATCTGTGCGTTTTTTGAGCAGATTGTGTTTTGCATATAATAGGACTTCAATGGACAAGTGTTGCGTTTTTCATGCGTTTTGCTTTTTTTCCAGTATTGACTTTGATGCGACTTTTTTTTTTTTTTTTTTTATTTTTGCTCATAGGAAAGTATAACAGTTCTGTTCATGTAGTGTGACTTTATACTCTTTAGCACCCAACATCAAAGTAGCACCCAGCTAAAGTTGCATCAAAGTGTCATCAGTCAATACTTTCTTATTGGCAAAACCCCCCCCCCAAAAAAGCATCAAAAACACGTGTTCAAAAACACAAAATGCACTGTGAAATTGCACAATCCGCAATCTGTCTAGATGTGAACCTATGGTAAAGGAAATAAGAATCCTTGAGACGAAGAACAAACAATGTAATATTCTTTCTATATAGTATGATGGGGCTCATCATATGTAATCAGCATGGCAGAGTCAGCACTAAAGCAGTTGTATCTAGTAATGTAGCAGCCACCTGAGCCCTCCCCAATAACTAACCTCGGACAACACCTTCATGCTGTGCTCTGACCAGAAGCCCCTCTGGCTGGGAGCTCTGCCTCGGTGAAAACTCTTCTTGTTTGATGTATGTCACAGAACCTAGGAATAAATATAAATGCATTTAAATTATTTTTATTTTACTTCTGATTTAAATATCATAAATACTATGCATACAAATCCAACAGCCAATGACAAAACCTCCGATATAAATCATAGCGGATTTTTTTTTTTTTTAAATGAATTGAAACTATACTGTACAACACAGACAGTTGATTCTAATTTTCATTAAAATGACTGGTTTGGCTATTGTAGACCATATAGGGCCATCTGCTTTAATGGCATCTGTAGTGAAGTTAAATCTATTTCTGGTTGAAGCTGTCTATGCGGCTCACAATCTGCATCCTAATCCCAGGGCAGTGAAGCTTGTCTTCTGCATCACAGCATGTGAGGATTTTTTTTCATCTAGGAGCTATTAATCAGCTTTTAAGACAGATACTGGCAGCTTCCAGTAGACCGGTGTTCTGATTAATAACAGATTTTCTTTTTCAACAAAAAAAAAAGGATAACAACTGTGATTTTAGAGCACCATTCTGTTTTTACTCATGAAGGTAACAGCTGTGCACTGAGCAAGTCCTTACACATCTGTACTCAGATGTACCAGAACATGACTGAATTCAAGGCTTACGTTTCCTTATTTGTATGCCCTTAAACTTGAACTAAACCAGTCCGCTTTAACCTCTTGTTGACCGAGTAATGGATATGTGTGACGACAGTGAGGGATATGCGTGTTGACAGGGCAGACTGCCAATCATATGACCACTGTGACAGCCGCTCACAGTGATCATTTGACCAGCAGTCCATCTCGCCTCCTGGTGTTACGACCCAGATAAAACCTAACCTGGGCTAAAATATTCTTAAACAGCGTGGATGTTGATAGGTTTGTCTTAATCCTATACCGATCTCTACATTTCTTCATGGAATCTAGGCTCAAGCTGTACATGGATCTTCAACTTTAGCCCCAGGCCTCCTTCTGTATTTCAACTGATCTGACAGTTAAAGGATAAGTTCCCCCTTTGTAACATGTTACAAATGCACTGCCCGCCACCCTAAACCCCTTTGCAGCTGTTGGCTGGTAGCTCTGAAACTACCAGGGCACTGTTGAGCGCTCTAGGCAGTTCACTGAGCTTCCCATCAGTGTATAACTGCCTGCCCATATTGGAGGTACAGGCAGACACACAGACAGTCTGCAGGACCGTGGCATTACACCCACGATCTGCAATGCTTTACAGGTCTGCAAAAAAAGTGCATTTATCTTTTTTTTCCATTGTAAAAGTGAACTTATCTTTTAAATGACAGGGCCAGAGCTTAGTGTCAGGGTAGCAGAGTTACTCTGGCTTGGCATAAGTCAAGGCCTAACATACACCCTGGGCGTGGCCTAAGATGGTAAAGATCCACAAAGACAAAGATGGATTTACAAACTAACAAAACTACCTGCAATCACCACAAAAAGCTTACACTCCCAGCATCATTGTTAATTTACAAATGTTTTGGGCCAGGTTAGGCTCACAGTAAAGCACCCAGTGCTCACTTCATAAGAGCAGACACTGAAATACTGACATTTTATTTAGGGGCAAGTAACAATTAGACTGCTGTGCAAAAAGGGGTTCTGTTGTCCCAAAACACACAAGGAATTTTTGCTCTCATTTCTCTAGTCTAGAAAATGGAACAATGTTTCCAGACATACATTTTCCATAGACAATGCCAGCAATCATGCTCTGAGCATTGTCACACTGTTAATGTTGAACAATGACAGTATGATGAATGTAGAAACTGTATAAATCACACGTCAAGTAATGGACTTACCAACTTTACCAGATTCCTGTTGCCTTGGCAGGCCAAGAGAGATGGAGCCAACAGAGGGTTTAACTGGTTCTGGGTTATAGGGCTGCTGACTGAGCGATGTTAAGTATGTGCCAGGTGTTCCCTGAATGAACAAGAAAATTAGTGCAGTACGCATAAAAAAATGAAAACGTAAATACATCCTTCTGAGTATATCTACAATTAGGACAGTGATATGGTCCCAAAACCATTATTTCCTATATCCCCCTGCATCTGCTGGAAGTACATATGTTCTGTACATTTATTAAACTGCACAATTTTGAGGCTGATATTTCTTAAAATGTACTCAAGACTACTAAGGAAAATGGAATATTAAAAAAAAAATTATTAAACATTTTATTACATTGGCAATTCCACATATACAGGCATACAGCTTCTCATGGGCATGACCACCCATATTCTGAACTGAGTTTTATGGAAGAAAGCACTGTGGACACAAATAGTGAACACGGTCATTTATTAGTCTGAACCACTATGGGGAGTGTGAATTAAGAACAGTGTGTATTTTATTTATATAGCATCAACACATCATACAGGATGTACTGACAAGAAGATATAGTTACAGGAAGATTCAGTGAACTACCACGGAGCTTCACAGCACGGTGCTAGTTAGAACTACAAGCTGACAGCCGCTAGTTCATTCATTCACAGAACACTGTAAATTAATGACATGGCTGTGTGGGTGGAGACCCGCTGTCTTTAAAAAGTGACAGCTAGTACAGGAAACGTCCTCCCATATTGTGTTACGGCAGGTGGGGGAGTGGTGGTAGAACATGTTCCAACCTAAAAACAGGTAGAACATGTATCATATTCCCAAAGGTCAACTTATCCTTCAACTAGGTCAGCTATGATGAAAACTACTAATAATAAAAACAGAGCTGCTTATCTACCGGATAGACTTTCAGCACATAGTTCACGTGGAATAAATTATAACAATGCTACTCAGCATTTTTGATTCTGTGAATAGCGCACAGCACCATGACCAATGAATATCAAAACAGTCTGGTAAAAGCCATTACTACTACTGCAAGCTGTACTAGGAGCCAGTGGTACTGTGTCTTTTGTTTTCTTAGCAGTCCCTTCATCAGTCCAAGAGTAATTACATACAGTGTAACTACACATCAAAGCGCACAAGCTACTTCAACTTTTTACCTTTGTGAAAAGAATACCCATCATGACAGAATTGGGGCTCTTTCACATGTGCGGCAGTGTTTACCGCATTCTGAAAAGTTATCAGTGGTGAATTGCTTTTCAGGGGATGGTAAAGCAGTGGCTGCCAGGAGTTCAGGAGACAATGCTGCCACCTCCTGAATGTCTGCTCATTTTTTTAATCCCAAGGGGAAATTTTTATCAAAATACTGCATGCACGCCTGATACGCACTTCTGGTGCACTACCATTGACCTAGGCTTGACAGGAGGTGCCGCAAGTCAAACTCTGCAGACAAAGGCAACATTGCAGCATCCAAAGTAAAACAAAAAACCCCAGAATAACAAAAAACCATTGCGTATCATGGAATTTGTACAGCCCTGTTTGACTATCATGTTAGAACAGCTTGGCCAGGGGGGCCTGTTTTTACCACCCACAGAGGAGAAAGAAGTTATGACTTTTTTTTTTTTTCAAACTACGGCTTTTCATAAAAAAATGCACTTTGCTTAATTATATATCCATCTGCACACACTGTTTTCTCTTAGTCCCCCTACAAAGTCCCAAAAATACCTGTTAAGCCTGTCACAGAAATCAACCAATGCAGCTTCCTGTGACAATGCTGCTGCACTGCTCTTGTATTGCTCCTTCAGAGCGGAGTTGCCACTCTAATGTAGGTGGTGTCTGGATTGCACTACAGTGGGATGACAAATGTTGTGGCGGGGGGGTGGGATGGATATCAGCATAGTCATTGGTGATTCACAAGCATGCAGCTTGTCAATTAGCACCTGGATCCACCTAGTCCTGCTCACTGCTTAAGAAATTACAGTATTGCTTCTGTTGCGGATACCCTCTGACTGTGATCTGATCAGCAATGTCTGCGATGGGGAGAGTGTGAGACACAAATAAAGGATTTGGATCAGCCAGGGAGGGTAGGGTAAAGAAGGAATTGTGGTTTTGTGCATCACATGGTAACTTGATTGGTACTTATTTAGGCTCTCATAGAGAAGGTAACAGTAGTGCTTGCATTGCCTGTTCCGTGCTTGTAACCTACAATTACAGAAGCCAGACAAGTCCACTGACACTGAAGAGGGTTTTCAAGTTAGCAAAACCAAAAGTGGATATCTTGTGATTCCTATTCTTAGGGCCCATGGCTGACAGGACCAATTTAAGGCTGCTACAGCCATAACCGGTAATGTGTATTTATGGTGACATCTGCAGTTTCTAAACCGGAATAATGAAGGGGGAAAGTCCTGCAAAAGATCTTTTGTTTTTTTAATACGAGGAAAAATCAACAGCATAGCTAGCGCAAGGCCCTTGCTATAAATTATAGCCCATCGTTTTATCTGGTGGAGTTACATAAAATTATTTGTGGAAAAAAAAAAAAGTACAGCCATTGATCACATAATCACAGCTTTGCGTGTCTACATCTTGCTACTGTTGAAAGAGGAGACTACAAAAATATATCTGTGTTACAAACTGCAAGAACACCATGACCTAGTTTAGCACTGCTCTGTCTCATGCCAGCTTTAATAAACCCCCCCCCCCAGTGAAGATGCTAAGCAGGCCATTTCTTCAGCAGCATTTCAATAATATCTACAATTGCTTAAAGGTATAAATAAGCCTGACATACCTGGGATATAGATCCCCCCACAATAAAGGAAGGCTTGTCAGAGGAGGTCACTGTAGTTTTGGATGATGGAATCAGAGGAGGAGGTGGACGGGTTGGGCGCGTCACAGGGAGTCGTGTTCCCTCCGCTAAGGAAGTTATTACCTGATGGGGAGCAGGCTGCAATACTAGGAAAAAAAAAAAGAAAAAAGAAAGCCCTTAAACAATTGTCTAGCCTTAGAGAATGAAAGCCAGATTGTTGACATATACGATAGGTAATGTAATATATCACAAGATTAGCCAAATTATTAAAACTCTTGGCTCTTATTTTTTTTATAGTTCTTACTTTTCAAAATAAGCAATGTATATTAACTATGATATTGCAAAGTACAGTTGGTCCTTTCTAAAGTCGGACATATAATTGACTCCTTTTAGCCCACCTTAACTGGTCATACATTCTTATGAATCTTTAGGTGTAATTCATATTGTTCCAGCTTTATTTACCTGACAGTAGGTCAACTGAACTGTTTGAGTTTTCAAACAAAAGTGACAAAATGGAGTATCATGACCTATAAAGTTCTCCATATTTATTATTATCTATTCCATACTAGGAAATTCTTTGTTCAAAAATGTATTCCAGTTATGGAGCACAAATTAAAATAAATCTGTACAGCATTGAAAGGTTTACATTGGAGAATAACCCAAGTTTAAAGGAGAAGTTCATCTTTTGTAACATATTACAACTGCATTCCAGGAGTAATGCGGTATGTAACATTATTGCAGCAGGCCCACACGCCCCTAATCCCCTGTTGTGACAGTGGGCAAGGGATCCTCTCCACACACTCGCTGTCACAATTAAAAAAACAAACAAAAAAAACAAAACAAAAAAAATACACGCAGCCGTGTAGGGCTGCACTCACCTAGCTACATCATTCATTCACAGTGTTCTGTGAATGGGAGAACTATAAGTAAAGACAACCTTTGTGGTTAAGAGCTTGTAGTTCTCAATGAACTACCAGGGCACTGTTGAGTGCTCTAGGTAGTTCACTGATGTTTCCTGTCATTCCATAACTGCCTGCCTTGTACGAGCAGACCGCTACACAAACAGTATGCAGGAGCCGGAGATTGCACCGTGATCTGCTGATCATGGATGCAGTGCTTTGCAGGCTCCTAGTAAAAAAAAACAAACAAACAAAAAAAAAACTAAAATGCACAATTGTCACCTACAAAACGATGTGCATTATTTTTTTTTAGAAAAGGTGAACCTATCCTTTAATGATCCCTATACAGACACAAAAACACAGGAGGACAGAACAGCTTTAGCAGCACAGGAAGCATGAATACAACAAGCAGGCAGTACCTGGAGGGACACAGTAGCGGACAGGATTGAGCTCTGCTTGCGGGGAAGCCTTGCTAACTTCTCGTGGAGACATCCTGTACGGTGAAACAGATCGTGCAACATTCTGCATTTGAGCTTCATGCTCCAGTGCTCGCTTGACTTCAGCAGCATAAGGCATGTACACAGATTTTCCTGCCAAAGTTAGTCATAGTAAGTTAAAAACATAAGCATAACACTGGACCATGGGTTAAAGCACAACACACAAGCATGTCATCACAGTTTAACAAAGCAGAACTCCAGGCAAACATGCCTAATTTATATATGTGCCACAAATATGTCCAACCTTAGTTTTACAGCTGCAAGCATGTGCATATTTCACAAATAACACTTCTACCCCCAACACTGTGTAATGGTTCTTACACATCTAATGGGCAACTACGGAAAAGATTGCTGCTAAAGTTTTGCTTCCTTAGTCACTTCTCCTACCCAACTGACTGAACAAAGAGGCAACAGCATATCCCTGTGTTCTCCTGTGCTCCAACACATCTAACAGCGCAATTTTATAAACAGCGGTTTACTGGACAGGAATTTTAAACACAAGGTGCTATTTGCAGCTGGAAATGTGCTTAAAGAGAGAAAGAAAGAGAGAGAGAGAGAGGGGGAGAGAGGGATGGGAGGGAGAGAGAGAGGGGGAGAGAGAGCAGGGGGGAGAGAGAGGGGGGAGAGAGGGGGGTAGAGGGAGGGGGGAGAGAGAGGGGGGGAGAGAGAGGTGGGGAGAGAGAGTCTGATGGGGGAGAGGAGGGGGGGAGAGGGGAGGGGGGAGAGTGAGGGGAGGGAGGGGGAGGGGAGGGGGGGAGCGAGAGTGGGAGGGACGGGAGGGGGAGGGAGGGGGGAGGGGAGGGAGGGGGGAGGTGAGGGAGGGGGGGAGGGAGGGAGAGGGGGGAAGAGAGAGAGAGGAGAGGGGAGTGAGAGAGAGAGGATGAGGGGGAGAGTGGAGAGAGAGAGAGAGAGGAGGGAGGAGAGAGAGAGAGAGAGGAGGGGGAGAGAGAGAGAGAGAGAGAGGGGGGAGAGAGAGAGAGGGGGGATGATGAGAGAGAAGAGAGAAGGGGGGGCAGAGAGAGAGAGGAGAGGGGGAGAGAGTGAGAGAGGAGAGGGGGGAGAGAGAGGAGAGTGAGGGAGGGAGGAGGGGAGAGGGGAGGAGGGGAGAGGGAGGGGAGAGAGAGAGGAGAGGGCTGGGGAGGGGGAGAGAGAGAGGAGAGGGAGGGAGGGGGAGAGAGAGTGGAGGAGGGGGAGGGGTTGAGAGAGTGGAGATGGTAGGGAGGGGGAGAGGAGAGGGAGGAGGGAGGGGAGAGAGGAGGAGGGGAGGGAGGGGAGAGAGAGAGGAGAGGGTGTAGGGAGGGAGAGGAAGAGGGGAGAGAGAGAGGAGAGGGAGGGGGGGAGAGAGAGGGAGGGAGGGGGAGAGAGAGGGAGAGGGAGGGGGAGAGAGAGAGGAGAGGGGAGGGGGAGAGAGGAGAGGAGAGGGAGGGTGGAGAGAGAGGAGAGGGAGGGGGAGGAGAGAGAGGAGAGGGGGAGGGGGGGGAGGAGGAGGAGGGTAGGAGGGGGAGAGAGGAGAGAGAGGTGAGGGAGGGGGGGAGAGAGAGGAGCGGGAGGGGGGGGGAGAGAAGAGGATGAGGGCGGAGGGGGGGAGAACGAGAGAGGAGAGGGAAGGGGGGAGAGAGAGGAGAGGGAGGGGGGAGTGAGAGAGAGGAGAGGGAGGGGGGAGAGAGAGGATTGAGGGAGGGGGGGGAGAGAGAGTTGGATGAGGGAGGGGGGAGGGAGAGAGAGGAGAGGGAGGGGGAGAGGAAGGTGAGGGAGAGTGGAAGGGGGAGAGGGAGAGAGGAAGGATGGGGGGTGAGGGAGAGAGGAATGGGCGCTCTTCCTTGAGACGGAAGTGAGGAAGGGGGGGGGAATTTGAGAGGGGGGGGCGAGAGGGAGAGGAGGAAGAGGGAGAGAGAGAGAGGAGGGGGAGAGGGAGAGAGGAAGGGGGAGAGGTGAAGAGAAGGAATTATGGGGGGAGGGAGGGGGAGTGAGAGAGGAGAGGGAGGGGTGGAGAGAGTGAGGAGAGGGGGGAGAGAGAGAGGTCGAGGGAGAGGGGAGAGAGAGGAGAGGGTAGGGGGTTGTGAGGAGGGAGAGAGAGAGAGGAGGGGAGGGGGAGTAGAGGAGAGGGGGGGGATGAGAGGTAGGAGAGGGAGGGGGAGGAGAGAGGAGAGGGACGGGGGAGAGAGTGAGGACGAGGGAGGGGGAGAGAGAGAGGAGAGGGAGGGGAGTAGAGAGGGAGGGGGGGGGGAGAGAGAGAGGGAGAGGGAGGGAGGGGAGAGATGAGGAGAGGGTGGGGGAGGTGGAGAGAGGAGAGGGAGGGGGGGGAGAGTAGAGGAGAGGGAGGGGGGGAGAGAGATGGGGAGTGGGAGGGAGGGGGGATGAGAGAGTGGAGAGGGATGGGAGGGATGAGAGCGAGGAGGAGTTTGGAGGGGAGAGAGAGAGGAGAGGGGAGGGGGAGAGAAGAGGAAAGGTGAGGGAAGGAGAGGAAATAGGGGAGAGGGAGAGGGAAGGATGGGGGGGGAGAGGGTATTGAGAGGGTAGGGGGGGGGAGGGGAGAGGGGGGGAGGGAGAGAGCAGGAAGGGGGAGAGGGAGGGTGAGAGGAGGGGGAGTGGGAGAGAGAGGGAGATAGGGGGAGTGGGAGGAGGGAGGGGGGGGATGAGGCGGGAGGAGAGAGAGAGGGGGAGGGGACAGAGAGGGGTGGAGAGGGTAGGGAGAGAGAGGGAGGGGAGGGGAGGGGGGGAGATGAGAGGGAGGGGAGAGAGGGGGGAGTTACGAGTGGGGTGGAGAGAGGGGAGGGTGGGAGAAGAGAGAGGGGGAGAGAGGGAGGGGGGGGAGTGGAGGAGAGAGGGAGGGGGGAGGGAGGAGTAGAGGGATGGCGGGGGGGGAGGAGAGAGGGAGGGGGAGGGGGAGAGGGAGGGAGGGAGGGGGAGGAAGGGGAGAGAGAGAAGGGTAGGGGAGAGAATGGGGAGAGTGGGAAGGAGTAGGAGGATTCGTCTCGAGAGGGAGGGGAGGGAGGAGTAGAGAGAGGGGAGGGAGGGAGGGGAGAAGGAGAGGGGAGAGGGGAGGGAGAGGGAGAGAGGGGAGAGAGGGAGGGAGAGGGAGGGGGGAGAGAGGGAGGGAGAGAGGGAGGGGAGGGATGGGGAGAGAGGGAGGGGTAGTGGGGGGGGAGAGAGGGAGGGGAGGGATGATGGGGGGAGGGGGGGGGCGAGAGGGAGGGGGAATAGAGGAGGGTAGGGGGAGGGACGGGGATGAGAGGGACGGATGAGAGAGGGAGGGGAGGGAGGGGGAGAGGGTAGGCGAGAGACGAGGGAGGGGAGGGGAGGGAGAGTGAGAGGGGAGGAAGAAAAAGAAGAGAGAGAGGGGGAGGGAGGAGAGAGAGAGAGGGGAGGGAAGGAGAGAGAGGGGGAGGGGAGGGAGGAGAGTAGGAGTCTGGGTGGGTGGGGAGGGAGTGAGAGAGAGAGAGGGGGGGGGAAAATAAGGAGAGGGGAGGGTAAGAGAGAGGGGGAGGGAGGAAGAGCATTATGAGAGGGAGGGAGGAGAGAGAGAGGGGGGTTCAGGCAGGTGAGAGAAGAGGGGGATGGTGAGAGAGAGAGGAGAGAGGGGGGAGGGAGGAGAGTGAGAGGGGGGAGGGAGGAGAGACGAGAGTAGGTGGGAGGGAGGAGAGAGAGAGGGGGGAGGGATGAGCGAGAGAGGGGGGGAGGAGGGAGAGAGAGGGAGGGAGAGAGGGGGGGGAAGGCTGAGGAGGGGGAGAGGGGAGAGAGGAGAGGAGGGAGAGAGAGAGGGGGGGAGAGGGGAGGTGGGGAGGGAGAGGGGAGGGAGAGGAGAGACGGGCGTGACTGAGGGAGGGGTGAGAGAGAGAGGGGGGGAGAGGGGATGGGGGGAGGAGAGAGAGGGGGGAGAGGGCCGAGAGGGGGGGGAGAGAGGGGAGGGTAGAGAGAGGGGAGGGGGGAGAGACGGGAGAGAGGGGGGGAGAGAGGAGGAGCGAGGGGGGAGGGGGGAGAGGAGGATGAGAGGTCGGGGGGGGGGGCGCTAAGAGAGAGAGACGAGATGATGAGAGTACGAGAGAGAGAGGGGGGGGGTGGAGGGAGGGGGTTATAATGGGAGGGGAGGGGGGGGGAGAGGGGGGCGAGAGAGGAGAGAGGGGAGAGGGGGGAGAGAGAGAGGGGTATGGAGGGGGAGAAAGAGAGGTTGAGAGGAGGGGGGGAGAAGAGAGGGGGGAGAGAGAGGGGGGGAGAGAAGTGGGGGGAGACGAGATGGGGGGGATGAGAGAGGGGGGAGGGGGGGTGGAGAAGGAGGGGGGGAGAGGAGGGGGGGGAGAGGAGGGGGGAGGGAGCGGGGGGGGAGTGAGGGAGCTCGGGAGGAGAGGCGGGGGGGGAGTGGAGGGGGGGCGAGGGGAGGGGGGGAGAGGAGGGGGAGGAGAGGAGGGGGGGAGAGGGGGGGGGAGAGGAGGGGGGAGAGAGGGACAGGGGGGGGGAGAGGAGGGGGGACGGAGGATGCGGGGGGGGAGAGGGGGGGGGAGAGGAGGTGAGGGGGGGAGGAGGAGGGGGGGGGGATGGGGGGGCGAGAGGGTGGGGGGGTAGAGGGTGGGGGGAGAGAGGGGGGGGAGATGAGTAGGGGGGGGGGGTGAGGGGGGGGAGAGAGGGTGGGGGGGGAGAGAGGGGGGGAGAGGGGGGGTAGAGGGGGGGGCAGAGGGGGGGGGGAGAGGGGGGGGAGAGGGGGGGGGGTGAGGAGCGAGCGGGGAGGATGGGGGAAGAGTAGAGGAGGGGGAGGAGAGGAGTGGGGAGATGAGAGAGAGAGAGAGAGAGTTTGAAGAGGAGAGAGAGAGAGTGAGAGAGAGTGAGAGAGATTACGAGAGAGAGAGAGAGAGACAGACAGAGACAGTAAAACTCTTCCAGCAGTTCACATGATCTGTGCAGCTACTCTGACCAGTTCTCATGGCAGGGGGGGGATAGCCTGGTGTCAGTCACATGTAAAAATCTAATATGTGGTTTTACCCAAATCCACATATTGGGTACAATCTGCCTTGCCCATAGATTGTTCAAATCTCAGCCGGTCCCTGCTAAATCTGATTTGATACCCAATTTATGTAATGCAATTAATTGGCAGTGAGGAAATAGTGCACATTCCATGACTTTATTAGGGCTAATGTCAGATAGCAATAGCATGCATAGCGGGCAACAGTTCACATAAACTAAAAAATATTTTTTTATAATGTTTCAAAAAGGACTTCAGACACTTGGTGCCAGAAAGTTTTTCTAAAGTAAAACTACTTAAATTGGACCTTTTAGTAAAATACAAGTCCACTCAAATTGCCTAGGCATCCTTACCAATTTAAAAATCACTTAGTGTAAGTACTTTAAAAAAAACGCTGGGCATGACATCACCACCCTTATGGGGAGGTTCTTGGTAAATGCAGAGCAAGCGAATGAATGCATGATGACATTCCAGTCTATTGGAAATGCATTTTATTGGAGATTTGAGCTCTGTATTCCCAGTATCTATACAGGAATGAGTCATATGCGCCATGGGCAAAAAGAAGAGGAGGCAAGCATAAAACCCAACTTTTTTTTTTTATTACAGGTACATTTTACACCTACTAATAGTGGAAGATTTGTGAAGAGGGAGGGGGCATGGACAGTGTAAGCAGACCTTGCATTTTACTGAAAAAAGACCGCTTAGGACCAGAAAATAAAACATTAAGAATGTAAATGTGCAGCTGCTGTGTTGCTGTATGAAAACAGCCTTTAGCTGATATTTGGCTATAAGCTGCCAATTGTCAGTATAAATATTCTGGGATGTGTTGCAGTAATATTTGAAATGGGGACTCTTGAGAAGCAGCTAAATCCTGAACTTGAAACAGGCAGAATCAACATTCTTGAAGGTACAGTGGGGATCGAAAGTTTGGGCACCCAAGCTAAAAATTTGTATTAATGTGCATAAGGAAGCCAAGGAAAGATGGAAAAATCTCCAAAAGGCATCAAATTACAGATTAGACATTCTTATAATATGTCAACAAAAGTTAGATGATGCCTTTTGGAGATTTTTCCATCTTTCCTTGGCTTCTTTATGCACATTAATACAAATTTTTAGCTGGAGTGCCCAAACTTTCGATCCCTACTGTATATGCAATGTTTTGATTGGCAAATATGTAGGATGCTGCATGGATCTTTTTCATAACTCAACCCATGCTGCCTCTAGATTCAGCAGCTCATATCCTACCCTCTCAATCTGATAAATGGAAAGTGGCTAACAGTAAGCCTTAAAGCAAACCAAGCAACAGCCCAACCTATCGCTGTTTGATAGTACAGGTAATCTCTCTGTTGAGTGTTGGGTTAAACACCTTTAATGTAGTAGGGAGAAATCAACTGGATATCATTCTGGCCTGCCTTGCCCCCTATCGGTTACGTATTGCACTGGGTGATCATAGGGAGGCGATGTATGTAGGAAGAGAGAGGGATACACACTTATTTATCTAACATGGCGCCAGGCATTTAAGGTATGTGCAATGTTTTAGGACAAAACAGACAGTACATACAGGCACAGGGAGGTAGTTGCACTACCATGCAGCCTGTGACACGTGGAATAGTTACATAGTTAGCTGGCTGAAAAAAAGACAAAAGTCCATCCAGTTCAACCATAGAACCAAAAAAAAAAAAGTTGTAATCCTATACCCACAGTTGATCCAGAGGAAGGCAAAAAAAAACCCCAGCAAAGCACGATCCTATTTGCTCCTGCTGGGAAAAAATTCCTTCCTGATCCCCCTGAGAGGCAATCGGATATTCCCTGGATCAACTTTACCTATAAATGTTAGTATCCAGTTATATTCTCTGTATCTAAGAATTATTGAAAAGAATGGGAAAGGTTTGATTCAGTCAATTTTTTTATTGCGGTCTGTGTCAATGTTGGGGAGGTTCCCCTAACTTTGTTGCGTCATCAGACTAAGAAGTGAGAAGGATCACTCCAAGAGAAACCTAGAAAGCAAAACAATATACAGGGCAAAACTGTTTTTGCTGCAGTTTATATCCTCTGTGAGGATATTCCATTATTTCCCTTTCCAGTCTGTTGACACATGCATGTTATCTTGTTAAGGCAGTGAATTCATTTTAAATAGGCTGCCAATGCATGGAAATGAACTAAAAACAGGACTTCAATTATTGTTTTTAATGCAGTGCTCCCATGGGTCACTTCAGGGCAAGTCCACTGGTACCTAGAGTGTGTTGGGGAACAATCTGTTACATTGAAAACTGTGTTTTACTTCTAAGGTCTAAAAGACCAAAGAGGCCTCAAATTTCTATGCTACAAGTTTCTCTTGCATAATGTAGTTTGAATAATGGAAGTATCTCAATTTACAACGTATAAATGAATCAATGGCTTTTGTTGTGTAGGAGCTGGTTAATTTTCCATAGAGAAAGATGTTCTGTCCACTGGACATACCAAATGTAAAATATACAGAAAAAATGACATTTACTTTAAGGCCTCTTGCACACAGGAGTAAAAAAAAAAAAAAAAAAAAGCTGTGTTTTTTACAGATTTGAAATTAGAAAATGTTACACTGTAATTTACGAGCATGTGCGTGTTTCCATGTCTATAAGCATTTTAAACGCAAGTATAAAGTAGGGATGCACCAAAAATTCGGTGGCTGAAAACACCCCTTTTGGCCACCGGCCGATATGAAAAAAAAAGCACCAATACAGGTGCTGAAAAAACCCCGCCCCTCGCCGCAGACTGTCCGCTGCCACTCGGTAGTTCTCAGCCTTACCGAGAAACCATCGAACGATCCGGCGCTGGGCATAGAGATTAGTGAAGGAAAGATGGCCTCCACTCATCTCTATGCCCTTAGAGGACCGGAGCGATGTCACTTCCCCCCCCCCCCCCCCACCGGAAATGCGAAGTCACGTATACATACGTGAGTTTGCGCACCCCTGCCGCCCTGTAGCAGTATTTCTCTGCTATAGGGCAGTGGGGATGCGGATAACTAGAGCGGAGGATTTTTTTCTGTTAGGTCAATATTGTTACCTTCCCAGTCAATGCTTGGACTCTTGGACATGTTTGCTGGGCTGAGTGATCTCTTGCTTTCAATGTTCATCTGTTCCTGCCTCTGCCTTTGCTCTTCTAGTAAGTTATTTTCATGCAAAGACTGAAGGTGTCGCTGGTACAAAGCGAAGCTGTTTGCCGACACTGGTGCGCTAGGGGGGATAGCACAGGGGCTGCAAGATACCTGTGAAAAGACATGAAGGCAAATCTGAATAAATGCACACAGCTGCTGCATGTGCCATATAAAAAAAAACAAAAAAAAACAAAACGATTATTTAATTTATCTGTTAGGCCTAATTTAACAACATACCTGCTGAAAAATTGGCACACAGATTTCACTTGCTGAGACACAAGTTTACATCAGTTTTCATGTGTGTTTCAGTGAGTTTTATACATGTTGCAGATTCCTGCGCAGAAAAGTCTGCACATGATACCAGTGTTGTGGTGTGAACAGGGTACATAGAGAACAATTGTGCTCTTTTTTTGTGTCCTTGCAGGACGTGTGCCTCTGAACAGCAGTGTGAGCAAGGACTTCTTTTTACAGCACAACACACACCTATGATTTGTTTTCAAATTCAAAAGGTGGAATTCTTTTCTACAGTCTTCATTAAAGTCTAACCCCCCCCCCCAATCATTTACAGCTAAAGAAGCTGCCATCTTAGCCTCTGTTTGATCTGCAGTTGCCATGGTGCGGCCCTACCTGATCAGTTATGACATAACCATTTGATAGCTTGACAGTTTGCTTAAAAGCACAAGCAACTGTGACAGTTCATTTGAAATATGATTTGAATATAACGGTTTTGGGTTATTTTGGTTAAATCAATAACTTTGGTTCCACTTAAGTCCCCAAATATTATACACTGCAAGTGTTTTTCAACAACACTGCTTAAAGTTTAACTTCATTCTCAATCAACATTGACTATGTTTAATCCCTATGCTGCTAGCATTAGTAAATAAATATAAGTATATTATATTTACTTGTTTAAAACTTTTTTTTTTTACATTTCTTCAGTTACTTCCTGGCTTCCAGGCCTAAGCAAATGATGTCATACATCCAGGATTCTTCAGGAAGGGTTTTCTCAGCTAAGCACAACCTCCTGCCTGCATGCCTAAGCTAAGGGCAGATGGATTAAAGGAAGTAAATGTTACATGAATCATCTGCCCTTACTCAAGATGGCCACGGCCAGAAATGCTAGGGAGTGTGCTTCAAAGTTATTTCTCAACAAAAAAAAAAGCAGGGAGACATAGATGGAGGAGTTAATTTTGAACAATATAATTTAATCGTATTTTTGATTTATGGTGCTCAGATGCAGTGCAGTCCTGCTTTTAGGTATACAGAATGTTACCTTAAATACCAAAATAAAAAAACACCACCATGTTCATACATATGTAAAATACAGAGCAGTGGAAGTGTCTTACGTACAAATACAAGTTTATTCACCCTTTAATGCCAAATAACTATACACATATACACATCTATAGTTCATTAATCAGCTGTTATGATCACACAGGACTATGCATGTACACATGCACCAGTACTACCAGCTATTAGCAAGCAGTTTAAACAACACAGTAGTCAGCTACTGAGTAATTTGATAGGCAACTGATAACCGGAACTTAGGGAGGAGAGAGAAAAATTGTTGCCACTGGAGACATATTAGATATATAAAATATACAAACATACGCATGCACACACACACAGTTACTCCAGTCCAAAAAAAATAAATAGTCAATAACTCAAACCCTGTACTGCTGATCTCCCAGGTCAAAGCACTTACCATGGGTGGAATAACAGCTGCCCGGTGATGTAACTGTTGCAGATCCATTGGCCCTTGCTTCATAGAGGAAGATATCAGAATGGTTCCACTTGGATTTAACATTGAAGGTTTTGAATCAATGGTGTATACCCTAAAAAAAAAAAATATATCAGAAAGCATTAAACATCTGCATCAAAACTTCTTGACATTAAAGTAAAACTCCAACCAAAATCTGTTCACTTTAAAGTGACACTAAACTCTGGATTAACAAGAATAAATACTAAGTACGTATATACTCGAGTATAAGCCGAGTTTTTCAGCACATTTTTTGTGCTGAAAAACGGCCCCCTCGACTTATACTCGAGTCAACGTCTGCAGGGGGCTGCTGTCTCTTACCTGGCTCCGGTCCCACGACGATCCGGTCCAGGAAGCGCGGCTGCTCCTTCATTCGGTTCGTCCACTGGATGTTCGCGCGGCTGCTCAGCTCCGCCTTCTCACCGGTGATTGGCCGGCAGAACTGTAGCTCAGGAAAGGCACACAGGCGGCCAATCACCGGCGAGGAGGCGGAGCTGAGCGGCCCCGCGAAAATCGAGTGAAGGAGATGCAGGTAAGTGTGCCGTGCTTAGGTGCTGCTGCAACCACATATGCTGGCTGCAGCAGCACCATACTGGACCAGGGGTCAGCAAGTGTCAGTGGGAGGAATAGTGCCCCATCATTGGTGTCACTGATACCAATGATGGGGCATTATTCCTCCCACTGACACCAACGATGGGGCACTTTTCCTCCCCCCCACTGACACCAACGATTGGGCACTATTCCTCCCCCCCCCCCACTGACACCAATGATGGGGCACTATTCCACCCCCCACTGACACCAATCATGGAGCACTATTCCACCCCCACGGACACCAATCATGGGATACTATTCCTCCCCCCCACTGACACCAACGATGGGGCACTATTCCTCCACCCCCCCACTGACACCAATGATGGGATACTATTCCTCCCACTGACACCAAAGGTGGGACACTATTCCTCCCACTGACACCAATGGTGGGACACTATTCCTCCCACTGACACCAATGGTGGGACACTATTCCTCCCACTGACACCAAAGATGGGGCACTATTCCACTGACACCAATAATGGGGTGCTATTCCCCCCACTGATACTAATGATGGGGCACTATTCCTCCCACTGATACCAATGATGGGGCACTATTCCTCCCACTGATACCAATGATGGGGCACTATTCCTCCCACTGATACCAATGATGGGGCACTATTCCTCCCACTGACACTAATGATGGGGCACTATTCCTCCCACTGACACCAATGATGAGGCACTATTCCTCCCACTGACACCAATGGTGAGGCACGATTCTTCCCACTGGTGTTCCCACCCTCGGCTTATACTCGAGTCAATAGTTTTTCCCAGTTTTTTGTGGTAAAATTAGGTACCTCGGCTTATATTCGGGTCGGCTTATACTCGAGTATATACGGTAGGTATGTATCTTCCAAATTCCCGTGATTTTGCTGTTGTGACCTAAAGGGTAGCTACGTTTGTTCCCCATGGTCCCAGTGTAAGTGGGAACATAGCCACTCTTTTCCTGCTTGCTCCCAAGACAGACTCATCTGACAGCCATGCATCTGCATGGCCCTGAATGCACACTGTGTGTTGGGGGTCATGCACTTGCACCAGCAAGGCTGTCAAATTGGGAGCAGCAGCTGTGTCCATGCAGCCACTGCATCCCACTTGACATCAATGGGACTGCCTGCACAGAATACCTGTGCATTCCTGTGCAGGTAAAACCATGCACCTCCATGGGTTTACGCTGTGGTACACCCATGTGAATGAGGCCTTATACTGTCAGGTTCTTAAAGTGAACTTGACTAGAATTGGGCATTAATGAGCAGCCATGAAAACATCAGAACATGTTGCTTACCTTGACCTGTCAAGCTCTCCATCAATGTCTTCATCAGCACTGCAAGTAGCACTGGAGTCATTCTCTGACTGAGACTCCACCCTTGTATGAGAAGGTATTTTGCTTGGAACATACTCTATGTCGTCAGGCTCAGACTTCTCTTTCATTCTTTCCAAAACTCTGTCTTTGGTATCATCCTCCATTTTTACTTGAGCACTCTCTGGTGGCTTCACCTCAGACTCAACAGGTTCAGCTTTGGTGTTGATTTGGAGGCTGGGAGATGGTTTAGACTCAGTACTTTCACTTCTCTCCTCAACCTCCATGGCCTCCTCAGGTTCAGGATTGATTTCCTCTTTCACCTGTAGTTTCTGGGTACTGGTTCTCATGAGTTTTAACATTCTGTGGAGCAGTGGTCGGGGATGCACTAGTAGCAGGCCTGTTGGCAAGTTCTTGCGATGGAGATGCAGCTGTTACTGAAGCAGCAGTGGTTCTATCAGGTGTTTCTTCAGCTTGTTTGGCTCCTTCTTCAGCTAAAGGTGAAGGGGCACTCTCAGTGTCTGAACTGTTATCAACACCTGAAGAACAAAAATAAAATAAGCATCTTCAATTTTAGAATGATGTACAGTTGTGTTCAAAATAATAGTGTGTATAAAAAAAGCAAGTAAAGCTCAAAACCCTTATAATAGCTTTTATTTCCATACACGGAAAGGCACTGGGAACACTGCACAGTCTATTCCAAGTCAAAACATGAAAAATGTTCCAAATTTTGTGATTACTTTACAGAAAGTGAAGAAAATAAATTCAAGGCCTCTTGTACACATGAACTCACCTAGTCGTTAAACTCTCCTGGCAACAGACAAAATGCATGTAAACGTAGGGTTGTACCCACCGCGTTTAGCGTTTTTTAGCGCTTAGACATTTATTCATTTGATTGGCCAGAGTATTTTCCACTGACATGGATAAATGCCAAAGCGCTAAACGTGGCTAGCATTTAGCCAAGTTTACACGCCTTTTGCGTTTTTGGCCAAAATGTTCCTTTCCTGAACGCAATTATTCTGTGTTTAGAAGAGGAACGTTTAACTGCCCCTAAACTCTGCTGCTCCTAAACTCTTTTATTGAGTTGAGTTCAGGGACTTTAGGAGTTTTTGCCATTTTTTTTTTTTTTTGCCAAACTCACGTTTAGGAGCAGCAGTGTACATGAGGCTTTAGACTGTTCCGAAAAATAACAGTGTCTGCAATTTTGTTTACAAACTCAAACATTTACTGTATAAACTGAAAAATGCTTGAAGATCTCGCTTTTCTGTGAATCACTGAACTAATATTTAGTTGTATAACCACTCTGAGAGCTGCTTCATCTTGTTGGTCTGGAACCAAGATGACGCTCGCTTACTGGTGTGTTTGGGGTCATTGTCCTGTTGAAACACCCATTACAAGGAAATTTCCTCTTTGGCATTAGGCAACAAGTATTCTGATGTATTCAACCTGATCCATGATCCCTGGTATGCGATAAAATAGGCCCAAACACCGTAGTATGAGAAACCTCCTCATATCAGGATTCTTGCGCCACCATACTTTACTGTCTTCACAGTGTACTGTGGCTTGAAAATCAGTGTTTGGGGGTCATCTGAAACTGTCTGCAACCCCTAGACCCAAAAAGAAGAATCTTCCTTTCATCAGTCCACAAAATGTTACGCCATTTCTCTTTAGGCCAGTCAATGTGTTCTTTGGCAAATTGTAACCTCTTCAGCACATGTCGTTATTTCAAGAATGGGACTTTGTGGGGGCTTCTTTCTTATCACTTAGCTTCACATAGGAGTCTTCTAATTGATACAGTACTCACAGGTAACTTTAGACCTTCTTTGGTCACCCTGGAGCTGATCATTGGCTGAGTCTTTGCCATTTATTCTTCGATCCATTCTGTTTTCTTCCACGTCTTTCTGGTTTTGGTTACTATTTTAAAGCATTTGAGATCATTTTAGCTGAGCAGCCTATCATTTTCTGCACTTCTTTATAAGTATTCCCCTCTCCAATCAACTTTTTAATCAAAGTATGCCATACTTCTGAGCAATGTCTGTTCAGATTTTCAGATGGAAATGCACTATACCCAGCATGCAAAGTGGATATAAAATGTCTACACACCCGTTAAAAATGTCAGGATTCTGTGATGTAAAAAAAATGACAGAAATAATTTCAGAACTTTTTCCACCTTTAATGTTACCTATAAACTTTACAACTCCGTTGAAGAACAAACTGAAATCTTTTAGGTGGAGGGAAGTAAAAATAAAAAAACTTAAATAATATGGTTGCATAAGTGAGCACACCCTTAAACTAATACTTTGTTGAAGCACCTTTTAATTTTATTACAGCACTCAGTCTTTTTGGGTATGAGTATCAGCATGGCACATCTTCCGTCTTGCCACTCTACCCCATAGCCCAGACATATGAAGAATACGAGAGATTGTTGTCACATGTACCACACAGCCAGTACTTGCCAGATATTCCAGCAGCTCCTCTAATGCTGCTGTATGCCTCTTGGCAGCCTCCTAGTTTTCTGATCTTTTCATCAATTTTGGAGGGACGTCCACTTCTTTGTAATGTCATTGTTGTGCCATATGTTCTCTACTTGATGATGACGGTCTTCACTGTGTTCCATGGTATATCTAATGCCTTGGAAATTCTTTTGTACCCTTCTCCTGACGGATACCTTTTAACAACGAGATCCCTCTGATGCTTTGGAAGTTCTCTGTGGACCATGGCTTTTGCTGTAGAATGTGACTAAGAAAATGCCAGGAAAAAACCTACTGGAACAGCTGAACTTTATTGGGGTTAATCAGGGGCACTTTAAATGATGGCAGGTGTGTGTACCGACTCCTATTTAACATGATTTTGAATGTGATTGCTTAATTCTGACCACAGCTTCATTCCCAGTTACAATAGGGTGTGCACACTTATGCAACCACATTATTTTATTTTTTTTATGTTTAAAAAACTCTCCCCCCCCCCCCCCCCCCAAAAAAAAAAGATTTCAGTTTGTTTTTTCAATTGAGTTGTACAGTTTATAGGTCACATTAAAAAGGTGTAAAAAGTTCTGAAATGATTTATCTTTGTCTCATTTTTTTACATCACAGAAACCTGACATTTTAACAGGGGTGTGTAGACTTTTTATATCCACTGTACAACATTTGCTGCCTTCGTACTTAAATAAGGGCCACCTGTTTTTTCACAGACTGAATGACCTCACTAATTGAACTCCACACTACTATTATTTTGAACGCGCCACTTTCAATTAATAGCTCAATTACACAGAATCAGCAGCATGCATATCATAACTGTTGGGTCTGTTGGTTTTCTATTACTCTATTAAACAGTGATTGATCTGGTTAGTGATGGTGGACTGCTATTATTTTGAGCACAACTGTATAATCTAATTCTACATTTTCGAAGAAACTACCAGATTTTTCAAAATTTCTCCCCCAGTGTTCTGTAACTTCTATTAATCTACACATCTACTGCCAAATTCTCTATGTCTTCAGGTGTATTCCCTTTCCATTAGACTAGGTCATTTTGGGCAGTTTTTCTACATTTCTGAGTCACCAACAACTTAAATTAGAACTCTATCCAAATTATGAGTGGGGGCCTGTTCATACCAGATGCATTTGGATGTGTTTATAAAATGCATTCCAAATACATAAGACAATAAAATTAATGGTGTGAAATTAGGGGAGTTCACGGTATTGCATTATGGTGATGTGTAGCTAAAAAGCAAGACGAGCAGACTGCATTATTTTGGAATGCAACGCGCACAAACACGGGTAAAACGCAACACAATGTGGCTCATTAAAAGGGAGGAAAAAAAGTTTTGAAATGTGACTGCTATGAGGACCAGTAGTTTAAACGTCCTATATCTAGTGAAGTGTGCACAGGAGCTAAGTAAACTTAAAATTTACTTGGCCCATACAGAATAAATCAGGATCACTTTAAAAGGTCAACTTCTACTTGCATATACACACTTTCTCATCACCTATCTATTTAGCAGCCCAAAAAAAGAAATTCTCCAATTCCTCCCCTCACCTCAGAGCCAGATCTTGAGTTTACAATCACTAAGCATTACCACTCTCAAATAGGTGGTGCAGAAGTGTATTTGGTCCTGAAACTTACACAAACCTCCTTTACTGCACAGAAGTGCATATGTTGCTTTGCATGCAAAAAAATTTCAATTTTAGCCTGTGTGTGTCAGAAACCGGTCACCAATGAGAATCAGGGCTCATTTATACTTTTAATTGGGAGGGAGGTAAAAATACGTGGTTAAGCTGAAAAAGCAGCAAAAGGAGGTGTTCACGTGCTGTGGCTGTGATGCTTTGCACCAACGACAAATTAAACATCCCTGTAGTATTTAGCGGGTAGAATGGTTGCTGAATGTGACCTTTCAAGCCGATGGGGATATGCCGCAACCACCCTGCAACTCTGTGCAAACGTGAGCCATTTAAACATGTGGTGAGGAGTTTCCCACAAGGAAAAGTGATCTATGACGGAAGGAGGAAAAATGATTGGCTCATCATCCATTCATAGAATACTTTTTATTGTGGAAACTGATAGTACAGTTTCTCTGAATAATGAAGGAAGACATAGGCATAACTTGACAGATGCAGCCGCTCGTATTAACCTCTGTAGCACCAGAAGACCACAGCTGTGGGGGTATCCGGGGCACAGAGGACTGAGGATTTCAACAAACACAGTAACCAGCACAAGGGACACACCACTCATTGTACCATCCCCGGTGTAGATTACAAAAAAAAAAGAAAAAGAAAAAAAAAAATCACTTATCATAAGCTTTAAACCTGGAGACCAGAATCATGGAACACCTCTGGGTGTAGCAACCACTCCCCTGGAGCCAAGTGCTGTTGGCTAAAGTCTGCCTGACAATTATCAATGCCTGGGATATACAAGGCAGAGAAAACTTACGCATGAAGTTCTGCTGAGGACAGGATCCAATCTACTTACATGATGGTTGACATTCACCACTGCTGCAGCATTGTCCCTCTAAATCCAGACTGAGTGACCTTCAGCAGGATAGCCATCGCTGCAGACACAGCCAAACTTTGCAGATGTTGGTCTGAGAAATTAGATTCTTGAAACATTCAGGATCTATCTGAACTGCTGTAATATCTAGGAATTCATAGCCTATTTGACCAACAAAGCTTTGTGTCAACTGTTCTCTCAATAGGAGGTCGTCTAGGTATCCCACAAAGGGGCTGCTACCAGAGGGCAACAGGACTAATAAGCAGCAGTCCAGCACTCCAACCAATGTATCCTATGCAAATGTTCAGACATGAGACACGTGGGAGAGTTAAGTTAGGAAGCCTCCAACAGACCGTTACAACTGACATTTAAAGCAACATAAATGGCTTCATGTGTTCTATAATCTACAGATCAACCACATCAGTGTGGTCTTAAGCAATATTGACCAGTTCGCCATAGTTTGGCAAATTAAAGTCACATCCAGGATGGGGTAAATAGCAGTGCTCACCAGTAAGAACATAGTCTAAAGATGGCTTTCAACTACTTATCAGTTGGGTCCTGAACAAATCAACTATCATAATGGTGCAGGATGCACCTATTGTTAAGACAGGACGACTGCCAGATGCACAGAGGAGATGATCTTAAAGGACTTCTCTTAATTTGGGAGTAATAGCAGCGGACAGCAACTCCCCAGTGGCAAGCTCATCAAAGCCTGGAGTAAATCAGAATCAGTTTCAGCGGTTGGTGGCTTAAAATCTGCCAAGGTCGCAGGAAAATCACATACAGTATCTGTGGGAGGAGCAAATAACAGCGATTTGAGGCATAAAGTCTTGAATAACTATTGTAAAAACCTCAGCTAAGGAAGCGGCCAAAACCAATGAAACTAAAGAGGACTCTTATGACCGAACAAACTCTAGCAGCAAAGACAAACATGATTCTAGGATTTCAAACTTGGGGTACCATATATGGGGATGCTGCAAGCAGTCCTGTGGCAGTTAGTAAAATTGAGCTGGGGGTGTAGCCATTGAAGTGGGACTGTCCCCCTCAGTGTCTAAAATAAGACATGTTGTGACCATGTGGTGGTAAAGCAACATAAGGCTCATGATAAGGTTAGGCCATGGGTACTTTCAAAACCTATGCAGTTGGTAGCAGGTGAGGATTAGAGGTGGCTAGAGGTGACCAAAGTCACTGTAGGTGGGCAGCAGATACGGCTTGAAGATCGAATTTCCATGTGGTTCTTGTAAAGAGAAGGAGCCGCACAGAGATGCTTAGTCAGCTCTGTATGATGAGAAAGAGCACAGAGCACTCACGTGTGTGATAGCTGAAAAAGACATGCATTCCCTAGGATCTTAGTGGCAATATAACCTGAATGTTACTTTTGTAGCACCCCCAATGGATGAGAGAAAACCTTTTAAAATTGAGGTACTAGGAAAACACAGAATGGACACATCCATTTAGATATGCAACTGTTATTGTAAAATAAAATAAATATATTAACATTGAGGGACATATTGTATGTAAAATGGTTACTTTGGGTGCCCAATTATAAGTGTTATGACTACAAAAGCAGGAACCGTAGGCACAGGCTATACCCAATAATCAGGTTATGTATGGTAGGTGAGGGTAGGAAACCTTCAAGTTTACTTTTTAGAATGTTTTAGATGCTGCTGGAACCCAGTTCAATTATCTGAATGCTTTAAATACATGTATAACATCTTTATATTTATAACATTTACACACAAGTTTCACTGATTTAAGAATCTTCCCTGATGAATGAACTGTGAATCAGCAGTGAATCTTTGTAATTTAGTAAAGACGATACTGCTCGGCTTGCATCAGGAGCTTCAGCTCACTTAAAGAAAAAAAAATTCTAAAAAACAAATACCTTCACTATCTTCCGGATTCTCTTCATCATTAGAAACTTCATTATCCTCATCTTCCTGGGCGGAAACAGTGGATGCCACGCTTTCACACTGTGATACATCTCGCTCTTCTCGTGGCTTACGAGGAGACTGCAATACAAGTAGCATAGAATGGCATTGTTGTAATGCAGTCTTCAATAATGTAATCAAAAACAAAGTGTGATCTGAGTCTCTGAGCTGTAGAGTAGCCCGACTATACACTGCACAAGTACACCAGTTTTTTCCTAGCTAGTAGACTTTATAGCAGGTCAACTGAAAAATCCCTCTTTCATACCAGTTTATCTGCAATCTTCTCTTCTCTACATCTATTCAAAGTGCAAATATTATAAAGCTTGTCTGAACTGTCAGAGAAAAGGGAGCAGAGAGCTGAAATTACATTCTGCAGAGCTCAGTGAGGAGAGTTCTGAAAGCTGATTGGAAGGAAGGGACACACACCCCTCCACACAGGAACTGAGGCTGTCAATCAGCTGGAGGTCCCTTCCCTGTCACCTTTTTTTCTTGGTGTCAGGAAAACTTGAACACTTATCAGAAGTGATTCATGCTGATAGTAGAGGAACAAAGCATCACACAGAAATGACACTTAGTGCTCTTACTGAGACACGTACACAGTATATAACATATATGCTTTGTTCATATTTCATGCCTGAGGTTTACAACCACTTTTAGATTTTCTCCCCGTTCGCTGTCCCAAACTTAAAAACAAAAAAACAAAAAAAACATTCGTCTGCCTGGCCGCATCATTCATTCATAATGTTCTGTGAATGTGAAAACTACAAATGCCGACAGTCTTTGCGGCTGAATGAACTACCAGGGCACTGTTGAGCTCTCTAGGCTGTTCACTGAATGTCCTGTCAGTGTTACTGCCTGCCGGTATTGGAGATATGGGCAGACAGCTACACAGTTTGCAGGATCGTGACATTACACCCACTATCTGCTGATCGTGGGGTGCAATGCTTTGCAAGCTCCTAACACAAAAAATAAATAAATAAATGCATATTTTTTTTTTACCTGCAGGTAAAAAAAAATGTGCATTTAGTACTTGTATTTGTAAAAGTGAACTTATCCCTTAAATCCTATGCAGGTTACTGTATTATCTCCCACCCCACTTCAGTTTCAGTAGTTAGCAGGAGGCACAACATGTACTCTCTCAGGTATGAAGTTTTTCTTCCAAAAAGAGTCAGAAGGATAAGATGAAGCAATCACCCTCTGCAAAGAAAAATCAGATGCATAAAAAAAAAAAGTACCCTTTTTACATAATAGTCCACAGCTCCAAAGGCTACCTAATATTGCAAGGCTGCCAGATGTAAAATTTTAGCTGGCATATAAGGCAAAGAAGGTTACAATTTTCAGGGAATAACATTTGCTGCACATGGACTCTTAATTACAAAGCCTAAAAAATTGCAGGGTTTTACTTTAATATTGGTTTGGAATTCTACTGTAAGTAAAGTTTCAAGTACATCCTAAAATTATATAGGTTTTTTTTTTTTTAAAAAATCATATCTGGGTTAACAATATGTAAACATGTGGAAATCAGATACAGGTTAACAAGTCTAACTGGTTCATTGCAGCAATACTCACTTTCTGTTTGTGCTGCTGCAACAAGTTGTCCAGGTTGTGCCTCCTTTTGTAATTGAAGTAGAAGTTTTTACACTGGGCTTCGCTCTTCGTTCCTACCATCTTGGCGATGGCTCCCCAGTTACGACCGTGTTCCACCAAGCCTGCCAAAACACAAAACAGACCAACGGGGTCTGAATGAATTAAAGGAAACAAGCATTCTTTGAAAAACAGTAACACGCAAGATCCAATAACCACAAGGCAAAAGAATTAACCCACTTAAAACTAACAAAAATAAATTTTCAGACAACTATGAAGATCGATTCAGAGCAAAGTTAATTGTTTATATAGCTAAAGAAAGCCAAGTAGCTAGAAGATAAGAATATCATCTTCCCAACTGTTGATCTGTTGGGCTGAAACATCACAAGTAAAACATCTTGTGGTTGTGCAGCAGCCTTACACTACCCTATGTTCAGTAGATGGCAGTCAGAGGCTTACAAAAATCCATCTCCTGAATGAGATACAAGATGACAAGCATGTTTATAATCTACAAGCATATCTGTCTTTATTTTACAAACAACCACAGAGCTTTTCAAAGCCAATAAAAGGCTGCCTGAAGAAAGAATAAATAAAATCAGTTCTTTTTTCCTCTGAAAAAAGGGCCTCCAGGGTGTGTGGTAACTCAGACTCTGAGTACCTATTCCTACTAAACACCATGCTTTGGGGAAGATCAACCAACATCTGTATGACATTTTATAGAAGAACAGTGTTATCTTGCACTGCAGCACCTACAGCTCCGCTTGCAAAAATTAAGCATGCCCAGCTAGGAGCGTAATCACGACCCCAGTGCAGGTTATTAATACACTGGACTCGCTAGAAAAACATCAGTTTCCTAACACAAAAGGAGTACCTGACCCTGCAGCAATCTTGACCATGGTTTAAATTCAGTCAATGGAATAGGTCAAACCCAACCATTTACTTTAAGGCTGGGTTCACATATATACGGTATATCGCATGTGATTTGCACAGGAATCGACCGCATTCCTGTGTAAATCACATGTGATTTGTGTGTGGTGCGATTGGAGCCATGCATTTTGTATGGCTCCAATCGTACCGCATCTGCGCCAAAAACGTGCAGGACCCATTTTTTGGTCCGCACTAGAATCGGATCGCATGCGTACTCACACCAATGCGATCCGATTCTGCACATCGCACCACGTTTTGCGGACCAATTTCGGGGTGTTAACGTAATATACACACCCGCAGTGGTTCGCATGCACAGGGTGCGATTTTGATGTGGTGCAGAATTTGCACAGAAAACACTGTGAATTCCTCACCGCATCAGTGTGAACCCGGGTTTAATAAAGCTTGTAGAGCACCATTAGAGCTATATGGAGCCCAGCTACAAGCTTTTACTTTGACACGATCTGATAATACAGCTTCAGGGTAAACAGGAGCAGACTGTGATCCTTCTTCTAAAGAATATAGAAGACTAATTGTACTCAAGTGGACTTCGCCTTGGCCCTCTTATATTTCTGAATGGATATTAGCGTTTAAAGTGCTACTAAACCCAGGACCCTGCATTCATTATATCTGGTCTCCCCCAGTACACAGAACATGGAAATGCAATTATTTTAGTAAATATAAACTGCTAAATACCTTTTCTCATCAGCAGTTAGAGTAGTCTTGTGACTTCTATCAGTATCCAGCAGAGAACTGGTTAAAGCTTGTAGGAGGAGTTTTCATTCTCCTCCCACTGTCCTATGAGACTGAAGGTCCCCTGACCCTGTCTGGACAGTGCCGATTGACCCTGTGCTGATCACATGCACTCTCCCAAGGAAAAAAAAAACAAAAAACTCTAGCAATACACACCAAACTGATCATATGCAGCTTGCCCCCAAGGCTCTGTTCTATCAGGAGATGAGTCAGGGACTGTGGAAGAAGGGGAGGCTCAGTGAAGACAGGATTAAACATTCTTTTTACACAATGCAGGGGATTAACCCCTTAAATTCGACAGTGAGTATAACAAGCATGCTTTACTGAATATACAGATAGTTTTTACTGTTGTGGGTTTAATAACACTTTAACAGACATATTATTTAAAAAAACCAAAAAAAAAAACCAACATAACTATTATCTTAGGAACTCTATGTGAAAGTTTTGAAGTAATATGGGCCAAGTGGATAGAGTGTATGTATCCTATTTTTTGATAAAGATTATTTGTTACTCTATTAAGATTATTCCTTTCCCCCTACGAGGGTTTTCTATTCCCTTTTTCTTTTTTTAAATTTTTATTCATTTTTATGTGTATGTGTGTGTGTGTGTGTGTGTTGATTATTTGTTCTGCCCTGTGAGGCGGGGGTAGTTATTTTGTTTTTGTATTTTTTTTTGTCTGTAAATTGGGGCAAAAAAATACATATATATATATAATATAAATAAACAGAGACATTTGCAAACAATATATCCAATTTGAAAACTTATTACACAAACTTTGCAGAGGTTATCCCTAAATGATAATGCCCCCTAGTGAGTATGGAGGAGTCTGGGGTATCTGATTGTTTGGAATAATAAAGAGAAAAAACAAAAGAAAAAAAAGACAAGCCCATCACCATACATAGGGACATCAGATAAATTAGGGAGAAAAGACGTAGGATGCAGTGGTCAGTGTGCTCATTGAGATCTGCCTGCCCTTCCACTCCCCCTTACCTAAATGCCTCAACTAGCACCACAGGGTTAGTAGAGTCCACAAGTTAGTAAAGTATGATACTGTAGGTAGTTTTAAGTAAATCTATCACTGTTATGTAGTAAAATTAATAATATTACTGCAGAAGTGTAGGCACTTCACTGAAGGAGAATGCGTAAGGCTCCATTCACACTAGGGTTTTTCAAATCGCAGATGGAATTGCAGCAATTCTGCCTATGATTTGAAAACACATTGGTTCCGGAACCTTTTTTGGGCATAGCACGTCCCACGATTTTGTTTGCATGATCACGGCGCGTTTGCCATTGAAATAAATGGCACCTGAAACCGCAACTGCATGTTTTCACACTATGACAGCACGTTTTCAAATTACGGGCAGAATCGCAGCGATTTCACCCGTGATCTGAACAAACAGTGTGAAAGGAGCCCAAGTCTTGTCCTTCGCAATCAATTAGATCAAAAGTATCTTCTCAAATCTGGCCCCAAGAACAGATGATTTCAGTCATGTGGATTAGCACTATAATAGCTCTTAAACAGTGTGAGACCCCAGGGACATTTACACCAAACACAGTGGGACTGCATTGTGCAGCTATTCTAGTCTGAGAAGGCAAAATGCCTCATCTCCTTATCCTGGTTCAATCAAACATTGCAGTGGTATGCAATGAAAAAATGTACTGCATGCGGTACTTTTTTTTTTTCAGCACAGCACCAAACAATCCACTGCCTTGCAATGCGTATCGGCCAACTGAACTGTATGGGATGTCTGACATTTCAACAAAGTTCATTAAAAAGTGAATGGTGCCACAATAAGTGAGTACTGCAATGTGCCAAGATGAGTGTATGAGCACTGCGCTGACCCAGCCGAACTGCACATCAGCTGCTTCGTTAGAATGCAGCAGCTGGTATTATCATATCCTTAAATAAAGCTTTTTCAAAGTTTTGGAGATGTGGTAATTCCGCAAAATATTTGTTGCATTTGTAACTTTTTGGACTGATGTGGCTTTAAATTTATTTACATTTTTATACATGCTTGTGTTTGAAAAGTATCCTGCAGTTTTTCTTTTATCCTGTTTGTTTTATGTAATTGCAGTCTAAAAACAGGCAGGGAAAGATTGCTAACAAAAAGTATAGCATACTTGTACATTAAGGCCTTGTTCACACCAGACATGCAGAAAAAAAAAATGATGGAAAAAAGTGCAGATTTCACTTGCAGAGACATGAGTTTACATCAGTTTTCCGTGCATGTTTCTGGGAGTTTTACACACATTGCAGATTCCTGCACAGAAAAAATCTGCACAATACTAGTGTTATAGTATGAACAGGGCACATAGAGAACAATTGTGTTTTTTGTGTCCTTGCAGAAAGTGTGCAAAAAAAAAAAAAAAACTCATGCCCCTGCACAATGGTGTGAGCGTGGACTCTTTTTTTTTTTTTTTTTGAAGCACAACACACACCTCTGATTTTTTTCAAATCCAAAAGGTGGCATTCTTTTCTACGGTCTTCTTTAAAACCTAACTCATCCCCACTCCCCCCAAAACCATTTACAGCCAAAGAAGCTGCCATCTTAGCTTCTATTTGATCTGCAATTGTCATGGTGCTGCACATGTGACCAGTTACAACACAACCATTTGATGGCTTGGCAGTCTTCTTAAAAGGCACATGTAACTGTGACAGATTCCATGTGCCTTTCAATGAGTTTAATACACATTGCATATTCCTGTGCAGAAAAAAATCCACACACAATTCTAGTGTTGTAGTGTGAACAAGACACAGACAGCAATTGTTTTCACTGTGCCCTTGCACAATGCATGCAGAAAAGCTCATTTCTCTGCACCACAGTGTGAAGAAGGCCTACAGCTGAAGTTTAATCTATTTATATTTTGCTTTCCCTATTTCACCCTTTTATCAACATCCTAATAAAGGTTTTTAAATAAAACATCTTCATGATATACCTGATTTTAGACCCAGTGATGTCATCACTGGGTCTCGGCACTTCTTTAGGCAATGCATGCAAATCATGGCTAGAGGCAGAGGCTGTACATAGCTTTCTGAAAACATCAAAGCACTGTCTCATAACCATCTCTTCATGGGTGGATGTCATTTTGAGTGACATTCAGACATTAGAGTGAGGAACTTGATTCAGATCTTGGTTTTCACAGTATAACAAATGATTGAATCTTTTATCAAGTTGATTTCAGCTGCTCTAAACCACAAAACAGGGAAATTCCCACTTGGTGGGATAAATCTAGCTTGAGAAATCTGGATGAATAGCCTGCCAGACAGCGCAGCAGTCCAGAGGGTGACAACAGAATGACAGCATGAGTGGTGGTCAATGCATTTAAGGGGTCAGGAAATCCCCAAGAAAGTCACGTGACTGTGACAATACACATACGGAGGAGCTGGGGGATGAGTGAGTGACGCAACCGGAAGTGGGGCAGGAGCCACGGTCCTGCTGTCAGTGTG